TGTTGCTTCCTAGTCTTTACAAAACATGTAAACATCTGTTAAGCAGAAAGAGTGGCTGTAGCTTGAACTGCCTAAGTACCACTGCTTGTTGCACTGTAGATTTGATGCAAGTGTAAGGTAATGTAAACTTTTAAGAGATCTTGGGAGATAGTTTTTCAGATTACTAGCATAACAGTGAACATTAGGAGTCCAATTTCTATAGATAAACCTTTGCTATAAACACACTTGATTATTAGAAGTAAAAGGGCTCCATTATCATGTCCATACTAAGCCACATGGAGTAATCTATGTACATCTGGATTTTGGATATTAAATACTTGACTTGTTTTGATGGTGGCCCAGCAGTGTAACAAGATACGCATCCTATTTTTTCCACTGTCTTATCTCTTCTTACACTGAAGTATTAATCACTTCTAAAACTTGAGTTTTGAAACATTGATAAGAATTTAAAAAATCAGTCATATTGGACACTGGGTATGGTGGTGTGTGCGCGTGTGCGTGTGTATGTCTTGTTTTAAAGCTATTTTGAAATTTCACACTTTAGCAATATGGAATAAACTTCATCTGGTAACTCCTTTGTAGCCAAGATAAAAACCAAAGTTAAATATTCACAAATGGACTAAAGATGTCAATTATCAGTAGCAGGCAATTAAGCACTACTCGCAGGGAAAATACGGTTACTTGTGGCTGCAAAAGGAAAAAAAAAATTGCCTTTCAGTAAGAATTTCCTTTGAGGGAACTTGGCAATATTCTGATGGCATGTCATCAGACGTTCGTGTAGAAAAGTGCTGGTCAAGGTACCTCTAGTTTGCTATTGTTCTTTTTCTTTGTATTGTAGAAGATGTTGGCAGTTCAAGCTATTTTACACACTATGTTGCAGGATTATTTAATTTTTAAATGGCTGAAATCTGTTTCACCCACTGATGTTTCAGCTATATGTATATAGCTGACGTTAAGAATAAAGACCTCATCTTAGTTTGTTATCGCATTGTGTGATGTTTAAAACAATATATTATATTGTGATTCTAAGCAAATTTTCTATTTGATAAAGTCCTTAATTGGGTTTTAGATGATTTTTCTGTATAATATGTTCTCTTATAAATATATATTTAGGGAATTATGCACATTTCCAAATGCAGAGGGTAGACTTTACTGCCTTAGAAATCACTTTTAATAAGAGTTGTATGATAAAAAAAATAAATGCAAGTTAATGATAAAATTGGAGTGTAAATATTTTTTTTACATAGTTCAGGTTTCTTATTTGAAAGTGTTCTTTTAATTTTCACCTGTTAAATATGAAGTAGGAGATTAAATTGGTTGAAAGTGTTAATGAAGGATTGCATGCTTGTTATGTCTGTTATTCAGGGAAAAAAGGAGGTGTCCCCCCCCCCAATTTATCTTAAGAACACTAGATATTCTGTGGCCGGAATACTGTTGCTGCTAGAATTTAAGGAAAGAAATATTACTTACTGTGGAGTGGATGTGGACACTATTGGGCAGGGGTGGGCAACTATGTGAATATGAATAAAAATGCTTTTCATAACTGTTGGTGCATTATGGAGAAAACAACATAAGAACTGCTGTGGTTTCCCATTTCTACTGTATTTCACTTGCAACCTATTTTTAATAAACTTTGTATTGTATTTAACTTTGCACTGTATAATGTCTGATCAGGAGTATTTGTTCATATTATTCAGACATATTTTCTGTTGCAATATTAACACTTGCTAGGAATTATAACCTGGGAAAATTCAAGCTATTGATTATTCTATGGATCATTAAAATGACATGATCTATTTTTGTAGCTAAAGATTTTGTGAAATATTTGATTTCCAATGCACACAGTCTTTATTAGAACTTCAGAGTTTCCTTATCTACTTCATCTTCCATCTAGACACAAAATATGCAAAAGTAAATCACAATAAAGCCTTATTGTTAAATTACAATTAACAATTGATTTAAAGATCTGTAAGGCAATCCAAAGTACATACTTCACATGTAGTACTCTATATACTGTAATGTACTGAACTTGAACAACTAAAGATTTCAGTTGTTCAAATATGGCTATTTTACAGCATTTAATAGCTATTGGCAACAAATTAAAATTAAAAATCAATAAGCCAATACTTATATTTAAAAATCAGCAATATAACATATAACTGCATATTTTAAATCATGCTTAATTTCTGGGAAAGTGGAAAAAAGCTTCACTTTCCAGAATGTGTGTCTGAATGCTTTCGCAGGATAGCTCTCCTTACAGTAATTAATATCGGATGCATAACTGACTGCTCTATCAAACTGAATTTTATAGCTCTGGCATTCATGCCCAGTACATTTCTTCAACATAGGAAAATAGTCTTATGTATCTGTTCCTGCTTCTTAAAAGGGATTTTCAGTTTTCATGCTTCTGACTGTACTCACTTGTGGTAAGACAGAAAATTAAGATAAAATAATGTAAAAAAGAACAGTTGGAAGCAGAAAAGAAACGGAGTTGTGTTTCTAATATACTTCATTTAGGACATTTAGTTTAATAAAGGTAATATCAATGTTTCTTAATTTCTTAAATTAGTAAACAATGCTATTGTAGATAGGGTACATACTTTCCTACATATTGTAAAACAGGCATGTCAAACTTGCGATGTCACATGAGGTCACACAACGTATCGCGACTTTTCCCCCATTGCTGGCAATGAGCTAGGTGCGGTTTCGGCAAGTTTGACATGCCTGTTGTAAAATGTTCATAATTTTACATCTGTTTTTAAAAGTTCAGAACTTTGTCTAGCCATTGTTTCTAGCTTCAAATTCAATGTTTGTTTTAGAATTACATTTCTGGTAGTGATTATTACTTGCTTCTTTACTACAACCAATGTCTCCATGAAATACAAAGAGCTACCACTTTATTTTATATACACAATACAAAGCTGCACTCCTTACTAAAGTCGTAACAAATAGCAGGTGCCAAATAATGCCTTTTCATTAAATTTCCCAACTAGATTAAGTTTACAGTGTATATATGCATGTTTGGCTGATCTGTGTTCACAGTCTTGGAGAAGAATAACCTTAAAGTTGCTTGACCTTTTAGTGATTTGCTTATAAGGAACAACAAATTACATATTTTTATTGCTATAAAGTCCTTTGTGATATTACAGAAATTATGCAGATGTATTTCCCAAGTCAGCCATCTTAAGAAGATGATACTTCTTTTGTAACAAAATGCTTGAAATAATCAGCTTCTTCAGGCATGTGAAAATCTTTTAAGAGCAGCTCTGGCCCTCAAAAAAATTGCCAGCAAATTATTTTATGTAACCAAAGCAGAAAATCATTAAACATACAGAGCTTACAATGTGCGTGTATGTGGGTGTATGTACAGTATGAGTAACTGCATGATATTAAATTAGATGTTAAATATGGAGTTTGTTCTGGCTCCTTTTGTTTGGGGAAGATTATCCCCCAAAGTGCAGCCATTAATGCAAAAACATTTGTGTATCCCACCTGTAGAGTTTGTTTGTTAATGTCAGAAGCATCACAATTTAAAAAAGCATACTATATGACAAAATTTAAAATAACTTAATACCTGTGGAATTTAACAGCATGTATACACATAGATTCATGTCCCAAGGAGTTATTCAGATCTAACCAAACGTCTCAAGAGCCTGTCACCATAATTGCGAATCCTAAGTAAGTTTGCAGCATGAACGATGATGCATTTGATCTTTCTCCAGGGACAACAGCAGATCCATAAGCTACAGCCCTAACCATTATGCCCTGAAGGGAGACCTTGTGTTTCATAGTAGGAATTTCCAATCTTTTTCAGCTAGCAGGCATACTTAGAATTTTAAGACGATATTGGGAAACTTAGAGGAGCACATATAAATTATCACTTCTGTACAGATAATTTCAATAATATCAAGAATGCATTCTTGTCTTGTACCATGTTTGTGAGTTTGAAAAAGTAACTGCTTATGCTGCAAATCAGAAATACAGCATTCGCTGTTGAATGTGTTCATTCTATTGCATTGCCTGCAAGATGGGATAACCGCCACTATGGATATGTATTAGTTTCTTGTGCACCTGTCTCAATCTTGTGGCTTTCAGAATCCTGAGAGGGACCACAATGAAAATTTGGAAAATGCCAAGATGGAGAAATGAGATGGCTCCAATCAAGACAAGAACTGTAGCATATTTAGAAATAGATCTTAAAACTGCATCTAACTTCCTATTTTGCTCTGTTGTGCCAGCTCGAAGGGGAGGTTAACCTCAAAACCAAGCAATTTTACCTTATTCTCCAGCACCCTACTTCTGGGGAAAAGGACGGGCACAGTTGATTCTTAGATTAAAAAAATGTTTTCCTCGGGGGGGGGGGGGAAGGTGTAAACCTAGATCTGCAGTTTACTTCTGGGAGAGTAGGTGGTCGCATCAAATAAAAACTGAAGTGCAGCTAGGCTGGGAACCTTGTCCTGCAGCCTGCTGCAGATTTAAATAGAATGTGGGAATGCTGTTTTTCTTCCTTTTAATATTATCAAGGTCTTGCAACAGCAGCGAGGCTCCTTCTGTTTCCTAGTTCACGATAGCCGGAGAAACAAAAGAAAAAAGGCCAGGGAATACTGGGGTACATCAGGCCTGATTTGTTTCGTATCTGTGGCCTGTTTTCTCGACCGTATTCAGCAATTTCTCCTTTAGGCACGGGGAAAACAAGCCTCATATGGAAATGTTCATTATTTACTTGAAAGCGACTACATGCATCCTAAGGCCCTTGGAAGGATTTATTCAAGGCTGGTGCTACCCCATCGATTCTTCCTAGCAAAAAGCCTCCCGATCACCAGCGCTCCCAAAAAGGCACGCGCCAGGCTTTGCAAGCGATCTCTTTCGAAGATCCGTGTGTGCCAGCGCGATCCTCTGCCTAAAGCCTGGCGGGTAGCTATAGCAACCCCCGAGAAGCTTAGTCTTGGCTTGTGATTGGATGATTCAAACGGCTTTCCTTGAAAGTGGAAGAAGGAACGGGGAGGTGCTCCCTCGGCTTCGACTATCTGGGATGGTCTGGCTCCGAACGAGGAAGCCCGGCAGCGGGGTTAGCCCTAGTTTTGTGTCGGAGCAACAGATTCGGCAGCTGCAACGGAAGCTGCGAGTGAGTGTTGAGTTGGCATAAATTAGTGTCATCATGCAGCAAATCTACCCATCTAGGGAGCCGCTAAAAATCCACACCAATTTGATGACCCACAATCCCTCCATCAATGGTTAGCTGCCAAAGGGGATCCTCTAAGCCTGGGGAGGAGGTAGTGGGACATAACGTGTCTTTAGATATTTGAGGGGGGGGGAGTTAAACTTAGGAAAGCTGGGATCTTTTGATGATCTCATCTCAGTTTCCAGATTTCCTCCACTGGTATCCTTCAGTTGCATTGTCTTACAGGAACTATGAATTATTAACATCTCTTCATGCAATATTTATTTTTTTACAGTTTTTTTTTAAAATTTAAATAGTGAGGATAATGATTGTTTTAGTATTTATTAACTACCTGTTTTTAGCTTTGTTGTGCACTGCCTAGAGTCACCTGTCATGAGATGGCAGTTATATAAATTGGATAAATTTGTATGGGCAAATACTAATGGGGGACTGTAGATCCAACACATTTAAAAGGCCTTGAAGTCAAAAATGAATGGTGGCTGATGTTACTAGTCCCCTGGAGTTGCAAACACCAGACTCCACTCAGTGGTGGGATTCAAATATGTGAACAGCCGGTTCTCTGTGTGGATGCCGCTTCTGGAAGTCCATTCTGGGCCTGGGCAACAAAAAATTAGCCACCGGTTCTGCTGAAGTGCTGTGAACCGGCTGAATCCCACCACTGCCTCCACTTAAGAACTTCAGGTTCACAAACTGTGATATGGCTAAGACAGATGGGACTCCAAAGGCAACTGAGTGGGACAAGTCATTTGAATTTTTAAATAAGTATTTAAAAGATCCAGTGAGAGATAAACCCAATAACAGAATACATGTAAACATATCACCCTAGGCTTTAGCATTTCTATCATGGGACCCAAGTTCTTTGATGGAGTAACTGGTGGGATTTAAGATATGCAATCACTGAAGAAGGATTATAATAAGCTATTTTGGCTTGTTGCCTCACTCATTGTACTTGTTTAAGTTCGGCCCCCTCTGAACTGTGTTTTGTCAGGCAAAAGAAGAAAGGATAATTGTGCTGGAAACAGAAAATGCTCTTCTGCACCTCAAGCTTGCAAAGGTAACAACATTTTCATTCTTTCAACCTCTTATTTCATACATATCTTTTTCTAGACTTTCCAATTTAAACCATGAGCAAAGTCCCAAACAGCCTGTCTGTTTTTTAGATTTCTTTTCTTCACTCAGAATGGCTATAGTTATCAAAAAGCAATTTTAATTTTTTTTAAAAAATCTGCAAAATCCCTGATTTCGATTATGGACTTACCTGAAACTATCAAAACTGATTGTTGTTTGTGTTGTGATCTAACAGGTGGTACCTTGGTCAGCAAAGCACTGAATAGACAGAGATTAACATTCATTTTGCAGTGGCAGTTTGAATGCACATCCTTATCTGTGCAGGTGATTTCTGTGTGTTTTAGTAATCCTCTGAAAATGCAGTTAAGCATAAGCAGATTTGGAAAACATCTGTTAGCCTTCCTTCCGGGACTGAAGCACTAACAATTGTATTTAATGACTGATCCAGTTCTTGGTTTTAAAAAAGCAGTCAGCATAGGTATGGATGTGGATAAAAAATAAATGAAATAAACAAGACAAAAAAGTCTTCCCAATATTTAAAGTTATTTTCTCAAGCATGGTTACCAGTTAGTTTACCCCAATATTCAGTGTCTGGTTTGAAAAATCTCAAATCCAGATTATTGATACTAATCAGGTTGATTTTTCGTGCTAGACAACTGCTTCATTATTCCCACTAATTAAATATTTGCAAGGCTTTTTTTGTCATAGAATGCCCAGAACGGAGTTCCGGCACCTTTTTGGGATGGAACCTTGTAGGGTAGGCAAGGCGGGTTGTATGACGTGTGAGTTCCGGCACCTTTTTTTTTTTTTAAAAAAAAAGCACTGAATATTTGTATTTAATAAATTTGGGGAAAGTTTGGCCACAAGAAAACAGAGAAACTTAGTTCAGTGCTACTGAATTTGAGCCAGATATATGGCCTGAGTTTGAATTAGACCAAGAGTCCTTCTGATTCATCATCCTGTTTTCAAAGAAATCCTCTGTTATTTGTTCCAAAACAACACGTTCAGAATTCTACTGCCTCTATGTCTGGTGTACATGTAATGTGCATATGATCTGGCAGAGCTGTTATATAGGACAGTGGATAGCTGGAAAATTTTAATTATAATTACTTTATTTGATTTCTATAGCTGTCCATCTCAGCCAAGTGATTCTAGAAATGAAGCATGCTTATGAATGCTGATAATATAGCAAGCTTATTCATGGCTGATCTGCTCAGAAGTGATTAAAAGTGAAGTCTTCTCGATTTCCAGCTGTCCCTGGTTAGCTAATTCTGTAGATTATAGCAGAGCAGAAAGAGATGTTACTTACATCTGTAATTGGAGATGTAGTATCTTGCAAATAAAAAAAGATTTTATTTTATCATTCTGGCAAAAAGCCATTCATTGAGTAAGGATTTTCATTGTCAGTTCTTATTGCAATGAATTGCCCTCAATTTCATTCTATTGAAGTTTGGGAATTTTGTTGTTAGTCAGGGCTCATAGATTAGGAAAAAAATGACAAGAGAAAACAGTATCTTTGTTTGCAATCCACAGATCGCATCAAAAGAATTACGTTACAAAGGTCAGCAAAAAAAATTACTATGGTTTATAGCCATAATAAATGACTGCATCTTCTCATTTACTGAATTCTAACTTAGTGAGTTCCATTGTTTTCTCTAGTCTAGTCTATATGCTTAGGATTTTGTTTTAAAAATCCTGCGCTTCTTTCCTTGTCATAAGCATGTTGAACTCAGCTTTGTCTAATGGATGCAAGCTCAGTTACAGGACAAGAGGATCAGGCTGGATAGCTGGAATCTACTTTCTATTGTACAATACATGCATAATTGCTATCAACAAAGAATTGGCTCGAAATTCTTAGCATCCTTTACTTTACTCAACCTGCATTTTTCTTTTTTAAGTATGACCTTAAAGTTAAGAATCAATTGGTTTTTTTTTCTCCTCTGCGCAAACCTATAATGGGCCCAATCTACTGTGTTTGTACATTCCAGAACAATGAGGTTATAACAAAAATACCAATACAAGGATGTGAATGAATTGCAAATGAAATGTTCTGGATTGGAAAGAAAGAATGAGTAGCCAACTGGGTTTGGTTGGTTCCATTGGTTTCTCCAATTTAATTGGTTCCATTCATGATTACTCCCTGGCTCTACTTAGACTAGGGGTTAGGGTTAGGGTTGGGGTTGAAGATCCCTGACCTAGACTGATTCCTATTGTTTTGCTCCACTCACTACTGATCCCCAGTTATTCCAGTCTGATACTTTGATTTCTTGGCTGTTTAAGATTTACAGAATCCCTAATAACAGAGTTGGAAAAGACTTTGGAGGTCTAGTCCTCTGGGGGTTGGGAATTCTGGGAGTTGAAGTCCACAAGTCTTAAAATTGCCAAGATTGGACACCCCTGCTATAGAGGCATAGAAGACATTGTGGATTCTAGAGAAAATGTTTTGAATCTTCAGTCAAGCTCAGTATGATACAGTTCACTGTCAGAAAGCTTAACAATTAATTTATAGTGATGGTTATTATTACTGCTTTTAATATTGCTGGATTTTTGAAAATTTCTAATTCTGAGACTACTTATTTTCAGAGTAACGTGTGTTTATTTTTCTTAAAAGCAGAATCAAAGAATAATTAGGAAGAGCTCAGCAGAACATAATTTTGCCTATTATAATAATACGAAGAAATTTCATGGAACTGCAAAATCCATTGTAATCCAGCTTTACAGAGCCATGCAGGTAAAGAGGTTTATTAGAATTAGAAAGGTTCAGCATGTTTCAAATGGCCAGTCATTTGAGATAGTCTGGACAAGAACTCAAAACCATAAGTACTAACTTTAGCTTTATTGTAAGATTGCAGTAACAGAATCTTGCATGTCTGAAAGCACGTAATCTCCCTCCTCACCTTTACTTTCCAGCGAACTAAATAAGATCCCTTCTGAGATGCTCTCCCTGTCCTCATTCCTTCTACAGACTGAGATCTCTCTTATCTGACCATTGTGCTGGCTGCATCTCCTCCTCCTTCCTCTTAGGGCTATTCCCGCAGACCATTATATAAACTGTGTACATATATGTAAGAGGAGAAAGAAGAAGAAAAAACCCAGATCCATAAATAGACCTTGAATTTCTATGAGCTAACGTAACACCGTCTCTTTATGTTTGTGATCTAGAGACTAAAGCAAGACATGCAGAGTCTTCGTTTGTCTGCCCTTCAATTTTCAAGGGATATCCAATATCAGGGTGAGAGTTTTCTCCATCAGGTTCTACTCACTGTCCAAGAGCTACAACTACAGAAGGAGACTATGGAAAGTAAGAAACATATTCTGACTAAAGTTGATCAAACACACATTTAGAGGACTGAGCTGCTGACTGGTTACAACAAACTTTTTGAACTTTGGCTGGGAATTCTGAAAGCTGTTGTTTCAACCATTGTGGAAGGCATTTGGTTTGGGAAGGTTGTACCATAGAAGATCTATTGATGCTAGGACCTTATCTAATGCAGAATTTGTGGAGCAGAATAGCAAAGGAAAATGAGAAGCAAATAGTTTCCCTTTTATTTGGGATATCTCATGGGGTTCTTTATCAATGAATTGTATGGCTAGTGCAGAATTAAATGATGAGGGAAAGAAATTCCACAGAGCATAAAGATGGTGATGGAAGATTCTACAATTTGACCTGCTTTGCAAGTACATTAATGTTGAGACCTCAGATAAGGATCCATTTTATTTACCATTCCATTCCCATCAATAGGAACCAGTTGTTCTGGAAGTTCATGAACAAAGTCCAGCATACATTGTGTACATATGTGATGTGATTGTTCCATTTAAACTTACTCTGATATGAATCCACATTAGAGCTTAGTATTATAGTTCATTCCAAATCACAATGACCTGTTCAAGAAAACACGGTTAAAAATTCAAATTTTTGTGTAAACTCAGACAGAGACACCGTATAGCTAAGTCTTTTACATGCTTTATGAAATATATATTGTTCATCTTTGTTTATTACTTGTAGAATTTTGCATGTAATCATTTCAGCCCCCTTTCTCTATTTCACAAAGGAAGACATGTAGCCTAATAATTCATTGAACGTTTGTGAAAACTTATTTCTAGCATTTCAGATTAAAACACTGGAACTTGAACAATCCTTGCATGAAATTAATGAGAGATATATGAAAGAAAAACAAAGAAGAAAAGTATTACACAATAATCTACTTGTAAGTATCTTGATAATTAACAATGTCTGAATAGACCTGTGCGATTATTTTGGAATTCATTTTTACTTTATTAACAATTACTTGCCATTGCCTGTTAATCTTCATAGGCATCCAGAGGGGAAGAAGGCAAATAAAGTATATACATTGCAAGGCAGATTTCACCTCTTTTGTACTTGTGTCATGACATTGCATGCAAGTGTGTAAAGGACTGAGTTTGCACTGTGACATCACGATGCACATTTTTGTCATTGTTGTGAAATCCTGGCTTGAATCTTAGAAAGTAATCATTGGGATTTTTTTTCAACACATTACAGTTAAGCAAGCTAGAGGTAGTCCTCGACTTATAACAGTTCATTTAGTGACTGTTCAAAGTTACAGCAAGACTGAAAAAAAGACTTATGACTGTTTTTCATATGACCGTTGCAGCATCCCCATTGTTACGTGATCAAAATTCAGATGCTTGGTAAGTGACTCACATTTATGACGGTTGCAGTGTCTTGAAGTCACGTGATCACCTTTTGCAACCTTCTGCCAAGCAAAGGCAATGGGGAAGCCAGATTCATTTAACAACTGTGTTACTAACTTAACAACTACAGTGATTCACTTAGCAACTATGGCAAGAAAAGTCATAAAGCGGGGCAAAACTGGCTTAGCAAATGTTTCGCTTAGCGACAGAAATTTGGGGCTCAGTTGTGGACAACCTGTATTACCTTTACAGCCTGTAAACTAACCAACTTTGTATCTTAGGCTATCCCAGGGGTAGCCTATAAATGAGTTGGTGCCATCCAGGGTTGGCTTTCCCAACATATTTGGTTATTTAAATAATTCAAAAGCTAGCATTTGATTAAAACAAAAACAAAATTGAGATTCCCAAGATAGTAAAGGTTGTGGTTTGTGCTCATTTCTCCACTTGCATAAAAGCATTTGCGAACCTCATACAGTTGTGTTTGAATTGAAGGCATATTTTGCTTTCTGCAAACCATAATCTGTAAAAGCTGCTAACTTTATAATGACATAATTTAACTGGAAAATATTTTCTGCTTCAAGACTGATCTGATCTTCTGATCTGTTTGTAGTAACAGATTGGATTGAGGATCCTTAACAATAAGCAGTCTACTCTTCTACTCAAGTTCCTGACGTTTACTGCCAAAATAAATGTTCAGTGTCAGATCATGAGATGGTCTTATATATTCTGTCATTTTAAACACTATCTATGCAGCAATGCATTTCTGGAAGACATGTGAGATTTGCATGTTATCAATCAATAATAATAATAATTAGGTTTCTGTGTTGTAACTCTAGGAGCTAAGAGGCAACATCAGAGTGCATTGCAGAATCCGTCCATTCTTACCATTAGATGCAGCTCCTGAGGAATCAGCCATGGAAGACAGGTAATTTATTTACTCAGTGTGGAAATGGTCATGGTAGCTTTCCTGGCAAAGAAATTTAAAGGTTTGTATCTTTCAATGAAACTTTTATTAAGATAGACACTAATACTATAAAGCTACAATTTGAGATTTACCTTCAAGCATTGAGCATCTTTTGTCATAAGCCAGGTAGACTCTGAATCTAAGCGACTAAAGCAGATACTATTCACAAGCATGAAAATATTATTTAGTTTCCAAGGTTTTGCACCTTGTGGAAAACTTTTTCATTTACAATGAAGGGTCAAGTCTCTTTTCAGTTGAGCTGAACTCCTGATGATTGCATGAACATGTCACGCTTCAAGGTGGAGCATACCTGCCTTTGGACATCTACTTTTACAGGGGTCTAGCCATAAATTTCTTGTGTCCTTTTAATAAGCTTTTCAGAATTCCCTAATGAATCCCTTCTTGCCTGTTTACCTGCAAGTAGACAGATAGGCAGCATGTTGAGTGCAAACAGAGAAGGAGGGGAGATCAGCCAAACTGGTAATCCATCTCCCTTTCCAGAAGAAATATATGATCCTCTATCGTTTTGATATTCCTCTGTTTTATTTTTATTGCAGAATGTTCTAGCAGGCTATTTTATGTTCCTGGGCTTTGGCCATAATAAAGAATTCATTCATTTATACATGAATATCTATCTCTGTGAAGTTTTCTTGGCAACAGCCCTAAAATACTTTGCCACTGCCTTTCCCCAGGATGCTTGTCAACTTCCCAGTCTAGCCTATAGCCCTGAGATTTCCTGGGAATTTCCCTTCCAAGTATTTCCCAGGGCTAATCTAGTTTCTTGGGATGAGCCAGGGATGTCTAGCTTCTACTAGCTGCTGCATTTTTTCATTTTTTGTTCATCACGTGTATCTTCTCTTATTTCCTCTGCTTCTATTCAGTTGTCCTATTTTGGTTTTAATTTTGTCAGCATTCAACAGCTGAAGATGAAAGTCGTGGGCCTGACAACAGTGCTTACTGCCTCCCACTCATTCTAGAGAATTAGTTGATCCTTGGCCTTGACATTATGCTTACTAGATTTAGAGCATAGGTAGTCCTTGATTTACAACCACAATTGGGGCCAGAACTTACATTGCCATGTAATGCAGCCGTTAAGTGAGTTGTGCCCAATTTTACTTCCCTTTTTGCTGCAAACTTTAAGTGAATCAATGTTGTTAAGCAAATCATGTCTTTGTTAAGCAAATCCAGTATTCCCCATTGATTTGCTTATAGAGAACTCCTTGGGAAGGTTTCAAATGGTGAACATGTGACTCCAGGACACTACAATTATCATAAATACATGCTGGTTGCCAAGTGCCCAAATGTTGATCACATGACTGCAGGGATGCTACAATGATAGTAAGTAGGAGCACTGGTCATAAGTCAGTATCTCGGTATTGTCATAACTTTGAATGGTTGCTATACAAATGGTTATAAATCAAGGACTACCTGTAGAGAGGAGTACAAGACCGAATGGGTTACTCTTCCAGTCAAACATGGTAAAGGTAGAAATTTATTACCCTTTTGGTCGATCTGAATTTGTGCAAGGTTAGAACAAAGGATCATGTAAATGCTGAAAGGAAACATGAGGTAATCCATCCCATATTCCAGGATTATCAATTGTGTGTGTGGGGGAGGAACTAACAAAGTCATTTCAAACTTGATTTCCATTACATCATGGAGATCCGTGGCGGCACAGTGGTTAGAATGCAGTATTGCAGGCTAATTCAGCTGACTGCCAGAAGTTCGATCCTGACTTGCTCAAGGTTGACTCAGCCTTCCATCCTTCCGAAGTCGGTAAAATGAGGATCCAGATTGTTGGGGGCAATATACTAATATTTGAGAGGGCAGTAAAGCACTATGAAGAGGTATATAAATCTAAGTGCTGTTGCTATCGTTATCAGAGGGAGTAGGTATGTCCCACTGTATCTATATAAGAGAGGAAAAGCAGAAGTTCACAATGACACATGACATTGTCACATGACAAATGTCTCTTTCTTCCAGTGTTGTTGTATTACAGCATTTTTTTTACTTATCTTTATGTATGGTCTATCTCTAAAAATATACACTCATACCTTTATCACTTCTACACCGATGCATCTTGTTGTATCTAGCCAGCAGAATAGAACAGCCTCTATTTCATCATCCACTCAGATATACCCTGGCTTATGTGCTTGAGAAAGATGTGCTTACATATAATGAATTGCTGTTACAATTAGGAAAGTACCTATCATTGTGGGGGAAAAGTTATGTAATGCTGACCCTTGGGTCTCCAAAGAGAATGATTGCCTTCATGTAGCAACAGCTGTTAAACTGGAGCACCCAAAGCAGGAAAATCAGCGATATTCCAAATATTTATACCTAAACTACTGCATTACTGCTTCGGACAGGAAGGCAATGCAGAGAGTGGTGAGAATGGCAGAAAAGATTATTAGCAGTTCACTCCCTTCTATCCAGGACATGGCATATAAGTGATGCTTGAGCAAGGTTTGCAGGATTGTCTGGGATACTATACATCCTCTTCACAATCTATCCTCCATGTTACCTTCTGGGAGGAGTCTCGGTGGTATCTGAAACAGAACATCCAGATTCAGTCACAGTTTTGTTCCATATAGCATCAGTCTTGTGAACTCTCAAGTTTCCTCTTTCCGCTATGTATTCAAAATGGACAGTGATATATACATACATACATACATACATACATACATGACAATGAAGGTTATCTTATCTAAATGCTGCAGCTTTTTATTGTATCAAAGAATATAAGGATGCTCTTCCTAATCTAAGTTGCCTGTTTTTCAAATGTACCTCCTAGCATTGGCACAGACAGCATGAAGTTGCAACATTATTGCATGTCCAATGTGCTGGCAATATTGCATTTTATTTTAAAATTGAGCCAGTAATTATTATCATAACGTGTTGCTGTTGTAAGTTGGGGTATGACATGACTGGACCCAATTTTTTTGTGGCAGTCATTAAGCAAATGTGGCAGTGGTTATGCAAATCCATTTTCCCCAATGGACATTTTTTGCCAGAAACCAGTGAAAAAAAAAAATCACGTATGAGTCATGTGACCATGGCTGCAAATGGTGGGCCAGTTGCTAAGTGTCTGAAATGCAATCATGTGACTGGGGTGTGTGCAACTGTTATAACTTCAAAAATAAGTCATAAATAGGTCTGGGGAGATATGTTGTAACTTTGAACAATTATTAAGTGATCGGTTGTAAATCAAAGACTACCTGTACATAGATTGGATCTCCCCATTTCTAAATTATAAATAGCAGGAGGAAAAGGTCTGTTGATCGTGATCATGGTGACAGTATTTTTTTTTTAACCTTTCTTCTCCCTGCCCCAAATTTAATTCAGAACTCTTCTGAAGTTGCTATTTAATTCTACTAAAAATCTACCCCCTAAATTGGAGTGATTTCATTTGGTTGTTTGTTTTTTTTTGATCCCCAACAGAGATTTCATTTTAAAAGCTGCAAATCTTTACATTTATCTACAGAAGGAATTTAAATATTGCCCTATTTTTCCCTGTTAGGAGGAGTGTGGCCAATCAATGAGGCACAATGTTCAGAATTGCAGAGGGTGTTAAAGAAGCTCTTGTGTAAGAAGGAACATGAACATGAAGTGGTCTGAGAAATATGGTCAGTTGGAGCTCAAGTTCATTTTTGGAGCTTGCTTAGCCTCAATGATTGATCCAGCCCGGCTTCCATCCTTCCTTCCAATTCCTCACATGTTTTATTTGCAAGCAGAAGAAATAAAGGCTTAGAATATTTGACAAAAATTTTATATCTTTCAAGCTAGAAAGTCAGTGTAGGAGTGGCAAGGAAAAGCAAAGGATGGACATGTTGTGAAACATAATGACTTTTTTGTGACACTTATATAGTTTGATCTCGACCTTCACTATCTCCGATGTTAGTTTTCTAATTTGAAAATAAATACATTTTCTTTTTAAAAGGCAGAGAAGCGTTTCAGAAAATGTGATCTGTGCAACAGATGACGTGAGTATTCTCAGCTGCTCTTACGTTCTCAATCCTCCATAGCTAAGCAAAAAATGCTTAAAGCTCAGATGTAGCACTTGGGCCACTAGAACACTACTCTTAATCCTATCACTAACAGATAATCACCTGATCAAGACATTTCTTGAGCTTCCCATTAAATAACTCTCCTTTGCTTCTCTGATGCTGTGCCATGGCAAATGTATTATCTCCAGAATGAAACATGGCAGCTTACCAAACCTTGCTTTCAAGAGCATCAAGGCAACCTGGTTTAAATCCCGGAGGCATTAAATCCCAGATGGGAGCTGAACTGCAAATCCATATGGTATTCCAATATTAATTTATCCTGTTACCAAGAAATATCATTTGAAAAGCTTGATGTGGTATGCTAAGAAGCCACTTTTAATTCTGGTTTTACTCTTTGGGTGCTTTCAGATAGATGCTCCAGCTTATCTATTTTATGTAGACCATAGCCAATTTTTCCTTGTCTGAAAGTATTGAAAAAGATGCAGGAAGATGCCCTTTATAAATAGAAGATTTATGCACATCTATTGAGACTGACCATTAGTGCAGTCATTATTTTAAGTGATCACAATTCTTCTGGAATTACTTTAGCCTCGTAAGTTGCTTCTTTTTTTTAAGAGGACATGCTGGGGACTGAACTAGGAACCTCCTGTAAACAAAGCATGCAGTCTGGTAGTGCATTAACTTCTCCCCTATGTATTCTCAAACATGACCAATGGAAACATCTTGGGATGTGCTTAGGCCTATTTGTTTTGGCCTACTAGATCAAAAAACTAAAAGGCAAGGAAAACTGGCTTGCGTTTACCTCCCTGTCTAATTCTGGGATGTACAAAAGAGAAATTTGCACATCTTTTCCCTAAAAAAGTGATACTGGTACATTCAGAAACAGTCTGTATATCTTGTGGGAAGGGTAGGGGGAGTGGAAATGCAACTCACTGGTGCTTTCTGTCAAACCCCTTGAAATATTTATTTTTTAAAAAATCTCCAAAAACATGCATCCATTTGAAATAATGCAAAGTATAGAAATATCATTCAGAACAAGACAATTATTCTATTGCAGCCTTTGAAGTGATTTGTTTCACTTATCATTTCATAGAAATTGTCAGAAATTGTTGGAAGATGGTACATAATGGTACATAATCAATCTATCCACATTATGTGGATATACAGACAATTTTAGGTCCTATAGTGAACTACGAATTTCTCCAGCCAGCATGCAAAGATCAAGTTCTCATGTTGGTTAAAAAGACTTGTAACAACATTTTGTCCTGTATTCTTTCCTTGTACTGTCCAGTCATTCTTAGCATGTGATATTCTTCTTCTTCTTCTTCTTCTTCTTCTTCTTCTTCTTCTTCTTCTTCTTCTTCTTCTTCTTCTTCTTCTTCTTCTTCTTCTTCTTCTTCTTCTTCTTCTTCTTCTTCTTCTTCTTCTTCTTCTTCTTCTTCTTATTCTTCTTCTTCTTCTTCTTCTTCTTCTTCTTCTTCTCCTCCTCCTCCTCCTCCTCCTCCTCCTCCTCCTCCTCCTCCTCCTCCTCCTCCTCCTCCTCCTCTTTCTGTCTTCTCTGTTTCTAACTGAATTCCATTCAGAATTCCATTTATGGAGCATGCTCAGCTGTCCATAGGCTCAGAAGGTCAATTGCTAACTCAAGTTTGTTGCTGTTAATAAGATTTTTTTTTTTACAATTCTGCATCCTTGAGGTTCCTCCAATGGGATGATATTATTTCGTGTGTGTGTGTGTGTCTGTGTCTGTGTGTATGTATGTATATGTATATATGTATGTATATAGCAAATGTATATCTGTGTTATGTATGTTTATGGGTATATATATTTCCTTTTGAGTCCGGGCAACAGATTTTCATTTTTAATGTGAGGTAATGTAATGTAAATGACAATAAAGGTTTATCTATCTGTCTGTCTGTCTGTCTGTCTATCTATCTATCCATCCATCCATCTATCCATCCACCCACCCACCCACCCACCCACCCACCCACCCACCCACCCACCCACCCACCCACCTATCTATCTATCTATCTATCTATCTATCTATCTATCTATCTATCTATCTATCTATCTATCTATCTATCTATATTATATCATTATTAGCCACCAAAATTTGGCTCCAGGAATATTTGCATTCGCTATCTGATTTGGCCAAAGATTAGATGAAAATTGTCTGTGGGCCTTTCTCCCTATCTTTGATCATTCTGCATAAATAGAAATTTCTGTGATTTGGTCTGGGTCAGTAGTGGCGAACCTATGGCACGGGTGCCAGAGGTGGCACTCAGAGCCTTCTCTGTGGGCACGCGCGCCATCGCCCTAGTCCTAGGCGTTCAGCTGGGTTTTATAAAACCTTTTTGCTTTAGGCCTCCACTGCCGTGTGCAAAAAAAAAAAAAAAGGTTCAATCAGTCAATTTCAACTTCTCACGGGGAAAAAAAAGATCTTGCAAAGTTGGAATTGATTGATTAAACTTTTTAGTCCCACCCAGTCTGCCATTACCACCGCAGCCACGCTCACCTAATGGGCCATACCCACCCAATGGGCCACACCCACCCGGCACTCAATGATGCATAAGTGGTTTTGGATTGCAGTTTGGGCACTTGGTCTCTAAACGGTTCGCCATCACTTATCTAGGTTGCCCAGAGAGCTCAACTGCTCAAAAAAAGGAACCCTTTATCAAATGCATTTAGACCAATATGTCTGGCCAACATTTCCTTAAAATCGTGAGATTATCCAAGAAGGGTCAGAAACTAGCAATGCTAAACCAAATCTGGTACTTCAATATTGTTTTATGTCTGAATTAGCAGAGTATAAATCATTTGACTCTTGATTAAAAAAACCACTAATCCCCAAAAAGCATTGATGGGTTTCGGCTTCAAAAAAATAAGTGCTTCCTCAAAACCCTCCTCTGCCAACTGATATTGTCTCTGCTCAAATATCACAAAACTGCACAGTTTCAATGGGGATTAATCTGCTGTTGAAAACAAGCAGGGTTTATCTCAATGGTAAATTGGCCAGCTCTTCTGCTTTCAGTCGCTCCAAAATTGCAAGCAGAGACTGATTTGAAATAATACAGTTGGCCAAAATTACTTTGGATCTGGGGAGGCCCAAAGACTTTTGAAAGTCTGTGGTAAATAAAATTAAAAGTCATTTCCACTTTGTTTATTTGCTAGAAGACCAAGCGATTTCCTCTCTTCTAGGGTCTTGTGTATTTTGGCTTGATAACAAGACTTCAGTTCCAGAGGTTTAAAATATGGTTTAGGTTTTTATTGAAAAGTAAAGCACAGGGCTTCGTTGGAGCTCATTCATCCTTGTAAAGCCTTAGAAATCTTATTTTCCTATGGATGATTTTGGCTACTGCGCCAAAGGAATGAGAGAGCACTATTGCTGTGGCGATGTCTTACCTTACTAATTCAAAATGAAATATTGATTTAATCAATTTAAAAGAGCAGAGGCTTGGCTTTCCTTTCCATTCCTTTCTCTTGTTTTTGTTTGCTTTGCAGTGCGGCTTCCTGCTTTGTTAGCGAGGGCTAAAATAAGTAATTTAATCAACAGCCTTTCCCAGGTTTTAAAGCATGTAGTGTTACCATCTAATTCACTGTAACAGAACTTGAGCCCAGTTGAAAAAGGAACTGTTGGCAATATACCTACTTGACCCAGAATATGGAACTATAATGGGTGTGCTTTTGATGATAGAATACATGTAGTCCTCAACTTATGACCACAAATGAGTCCAAAGATTTTGTTGCTAAACAAGACAGTTAAGTGATTGTGCCCAATTTTACTACTCTTTTTGCCACAGTTGTTAAGCAAATATTGCAGTTGTTGTTGTTGTTGTTAATAATAATAATAATAATAACAATAATAATAATAATAAAGTTGGAAGGAACCTTGGAGGTCATCTAGTCCAACCCCCTGCTCAGGCAAGAAACCCTATACCATTTGAGACAAATGGCTGTCCAATCTCTTCTTAAAAACTGACTTCCTCCATTGACTTTGCTTGTCAGAAGCCAGCTGGAAAGGTTGCAAATGGTGATCACATGACCTCAGGACAGTGCAATTGTCATAAAGAGCTGTGGTGGCGCAGTGGTTAGAGCACAGTATAGCACGTTAATTCTGCCGACTGCCAGCAGTTTGAGTCTCACTGGTTCATGGTTGACACAGCCTTCCATCCTTCTGAGGTCGTTAAAATGAGGATCCAGATTGTTGAGAGCAATAGGCTGACTCTGTAAACTGCTTAGAAACAGCTGTAAAGCACTATGAAGCAGTATATAAGACTAAGTCCTATTGCTATTGCTATAAATACATGCCAGTTGCCAAGCATTCAAATTTTGATCATGTGACTATGGGGATGCTGCAACAGTCATAAATGTGAAAAACGGTCAGAGGTCACCTTTTTTCAGTTCCCTCACTTTGAATGGTCACTAAATGAATGATTGTAAGTTGAGGACTACCTTTATCGTGTGCTCCTTCTTCTGGAACATCATTTTGTCCTCCCTCCCAGATCTCTTCGGCCCTGATCTTGCTGTCATTCAGGAAAGTGTTAAAAAATGACCTTTGGAGCAGCCCCTGTAGCAAAGCAATTTGGAGATTGGAATTTTCTTTTTCCACTGTTGTTGTATTTGGTTCTTTAGTTTTTGTTTTAATGAAGTTTTTCATCCATTGTGCATCACTTTGAGTCATTTTCCAATGTGGCTGTATAAATTGACTCTGTAAATCCCTCTGTGTTCAGTGAGGTTTAGTTCACAGTAAGGGTGTTTCAGTCTTCCTAGTGAATCTTTATACAGAAAAATTGATGCCTACTCCTTGGATCAATGTTTCTTAAAGGGTAGTCTTGAAACACCCAGGGCTTCCCAAGACCCTCTCAGGAATTCTTGAAATCAAAATTATTTGCCAGCCTTTGTTGAAAAATAATACAATATTAAACAATCCCATCAAACAATTGTGAGCTAACAGTGGCAAATGTGTCAATTTTCATTTTTAATACAGTACATATCAATCAGTACAACCCATACAATGCAATAACAGCTCTTTTGGGGTCCTCAGAAAATGAGAAGGGGTCCTGAGAGGAAAAAAGCTTAAGAAAATTAGATCCAAATATCTTTTTTTCTAGACAGTAGAAGCTTCTATTCACTTCATGCCCCACATCAAATATTCTCTAAATGTCTTCCACAGAGTTTTGAGAAAAATGCTTTGAAGCAGATATCTATCCAACCGTCCTGTCTTTTTCCAAGGTCTTAAAAGACCTAATTCTGTCACTGGGTTTGGGATCCATATGTGTGGTAGAGCCCATGCAGTGGCTCTGTTAATTGCTATTGATGGATTTTGTACCTCAGCTGCTGATTCTAGTGGTATGACTTTTTAAAAAAATATTGTTTCTTGGTTTTGCGTACTTTTTACTTGTAAGCTGCAAGTAAGCGGCAGAGTCGTAAAATTGAGGTGGGTGGCCATATAAATTGAATTAATAAATACAGTAATATTTTCATTATTTATGTTTTGCCCTTCAAAATGAGAATCTTTTCCATCCTCTGGTTTGGCTCTTTGACCAATCTGGCAATGTTTTCTCAGATTGTTTCCTGTTTGTTAATTTAAAAAAAAAAATGTTGAAAAAGCCTTCAACATGATAGTTTTGGAGACCTAACCAAATGCACTTCTCTGCTGCGGACTCAATCAAAGATAAGAGACTTTCCTGGTCTCCAAGAGCTGAGAGCAGAATAAGGAGGCAGGCTGGAGGCAGCATGGAGCTTATCTTCCCAGGCCTGAGTCATAGCCTTCTGTGGAGCACAGATATACCATATAGTCTTCCATCCCTCTAAGTTAAATGTATAATTGTGGTAGAAATACAGAGAAGGATGAAGGTCAACCTCACACAACTGCATGTGGCAGCTCCAAATGCAGCACCCAGTACCCACCTCCCCATCTCTCCTTGTTGCAACCCTACCAATCTATGTTTCGAAGACAGGAAATGGCAATGTGGGTTCCACCATTTGGAAGTTCTTAACATTCTGACTTTGTGGCAAACCTTTAAACATACTTTTTTTTTCCATTTAGATCTTAATGATACACATTCTAATTGTTTCCACCCTTCTTTTCCTTTTGGCTAGGAAACCATCTTAGTAAAGTGCAGCCGTCCTGGTCACGCTTTGATAAACAAGACATACCAGTTTGAAAGGTGGGTGGTCTCAAGAGCAATTTTGGTGTGTGCTGATTCTTTTAAAGAAAATAGGATTTGCAGTGAGAACTTACAACCGTCTGTTAGCATCCCAAGATTCCTTTGGGGACTTCCCCTTTAATCACCCAGGCTTTAAATTTGGAACAAATAGGAATTCCAAGCTCCCTCTAAATGGAAAAAAGCAGATGTCTTTATTCCCATTTCTTTGAATGCTGTAGAATAGCAGCTCCCAAACTTTTCTGTACCCTACCCCCCTAGAATGCTTCTGATACATTCTCCTAGCCCTTACAAAAGTTTGAAGCGAGCACCCCTGTTGGGAATCCCTGCTGTAGAATATCAGGTTAGTTTTTTTAAATACATAATTCTGTCATCTCTAAAATTAAGCTATTGATAAAGTGACATTCCCCCTTCACAAACAGTCTACAGCAGGTGAACTGTTCTTCTACACAGTACAATAGTATGTCCCTGTGATGAAATGTTACAACAAATACAACTACACAGAGAATAGTATTCACATAAACAGATTTCTAGAGCCATGTGGAAAGCAAAACAAGTACAGGTAGTCCTTGACTTACAACAGTTCATTTAGTGACCGTTCAAAGTTACAACGGCACTGAAAAGAATGACTTACAACTGGTTTTTCCCCCATCCCCACAGTCACTTGATCAAAATTCAGATGCTTGGCAACTGACTCATTTATAATGGCTGCAGGGTGCCAGGGTTATGTGATCACCTTTTGAGATCTTCTGACAAGCAAAGTCAATGGGGAAACCAGAGTCAGTTAACAACTGTATGACTAAACAACTGTAGTGATTCACGTGACAACTGTGGCAAGAAAGGTCGTAAAATGGGGCAAAATTCACTTAACAATTGTCTCACTTAGCAGCATAAATTTTGGGTCAATTATGGTTGTAAGTCAAGAACTACCTGTATACGGATTTCAACCACCGATGATTCTTTTTGTTCCTCCGTTATCAACTTCCCTGACCAAAAGTTCTTCACAGTCTAAAGCTTGTAGCAATTTCATACAATTTCAGTTGGCCTAGAAAAAGGTGATGTTTAGAAATTTGGATTCATTTAAAATACATTTTTGGTCATGGACACCGCAGTTACTATTTTTTTTACAGTTTTTCATCTTTTTAAAATCATTTATGACCTAATAAAATTTATTGAGTTACCTGTTCTACATTACTTGTTTTGAAGAAAATCTATAGAAAGAATTTCTATACCCCAAACAATGTTTTTAGCAGAGCACACTGTGGTGTTTCACATAAAACCTAACTGGTATTCAAGAATTCGGTATCATAATGAAATAACAATCTTTCTAAATCGTAAAATAGAAATCTATAAGCTATGTTATTCTAAGATATGGGTCAGTGTGTATTTCGTACACGCACAAATCTTCCCCTCCAAAAAGGAGGTTTAAAGTAAAGTGAGAATGCATTTAATTTGTTAATGTCCTGAACTGTAAAAGTTCAGCATAAGGTTCTGATGAATTTCACAAGTATATTTTTAGTGCATTATTGAAGGAAGTACGAATCATATGAATGCAATACTATAAAAATCCACCTGGCCAAAACGATGGGGAAGGAGGGAGTATGATGTGAAAGGGAAGGAGTGGGATCTATCAACCAATGTGACACCCCTTTGTTGGAACCCCAAGCCAACTGGCAGAGCAGGTCTTCAAGTTCTTACGGAAGATCAGGAGGGTTAGAGCCGACATCACTCTGGAGGGTAAGATATTCCAAAGCACAGGTGCAACAACAGAGAAGGCTCTTCTCCTAAACCCCGCCAGCTGGAATACCTTGGCTGATGGAGCCCACAACTTGCCTCCTTTGATGGCACAGGTCGGGCAGGCCAATCCCAGTGGGATGAGACAGTCCTTCAAATAGCCCGGACCCATGCCATGAAGATGGCTTTACATCACAATCTTCTTTTAACAAATGATGCTTTTAAATTTTACAATGAAACTACTACAGTATTAAAAAGCATATGGCAGGAACAGGTAGGTGAGGAAATGGATGATAAGCCCCCCCCCTCTCTTTTTTTTTTTTTTACTAACAGTTTCTTGGCATGGCTGACTTTTCATTAACCTTTCCGTTTCAGTAAAGCAAATTTTAAATGCTTATGAGCACAAGGTTAAATTACGATGCTTGTTCCATGCAAATATCTTCTATTACTTTATGCTGGACCTTAAGATATTTCACAAAGTAGAATAGTTTTATAAAGGAAAATTCACATTGTTAAATAGTACACAGACAGACGTCCTCTGCTATTAGGAATTTTAAGATGTTTTCTACATTGTTGTTTTTTGTTTTTCATCCAAAATTCCAATAGTTGTACAATAATGTAATAATCAAGTATAAGTTGTTGGTTTTTTTTAAAAAAAAATAAGCATGATATAACACTATGCCAGGTATTAGGGTAGCTGGCAACCATGTAATTAAAGAAATGGCTTAGCAAGTCTGAACTGAGAAAGGGTGATTGAGATCTTATGTTGTTCTGTATTCTGGCTGTTATCTTACTTCCTACTATCCACTTTATTGTGCTGTTAAATGACATGCTGGTTCATATCTTAATCTGTCCCCTGTGATCTAATAAGGTGCTATGTATGTTTGAATTAAAAGCTGGAAAAGGTTACTGGCTTCCACATATTTCTGGCTAAGTATTCAGTGCCCTATTCACTAGAAGGTCAACCAGAGGAAACCACTTCAATAAATGAAATTAAGGTATAATAATTGGTTACATATAAACTATAGCAGGGTGGCCTGAAGCAAAGCCTCTGAGCTACTCACTGTATGCTCCAGTGATATTGGAAATGGCCAGACTTGAAGGTGATTTTTTTTTTCTTCCTTAAAGGAAGTCTTTAAAGAGGAAGAATGAATACTTTAGGACTCATATCATATTGAGACACACATTTCACTCATCAGCCTTACAGAGAATTAGGACACCAATTTCCCCCCTTTCTCCCCTTAGTTGTAATATTTTAGGGAACAAAATAGGTATCCCCCATTTTTATTGTTTGAATTTCATCATGCATGAATTAATAAAGTTCTAAATACTTCAGAGTTAATGAAATGGGATAATCTTAGATTTGAACAAATGTAACAGTAATTTAAAAACAAAACAAAAGGGAAGGCTAGCCAACTAAGTTATCAAGTGAACTCTCCAATCACTCAAAACTCCACCTGCTCAAAAGTCTTTTTCTTTGCCCTCTGTTTAAAATATGTTTACCCCTTACAGTGTCCTCCCAATGAAACACCAGGACTTTTGGTCACAACTGTTCTGTTGACTTTTATCTTTCACTTACTCTTTTTTTTTTTTTTACTAAAACCAAAAGACTGAAAAGGTTTATTTGGATAGGGGGGGATTGCCAAAACCTACATAAAAACAATGAAATTAAAAAATAAAAAAGCCTTAAAATGCTACTATATTTGAAAAAAAATGTAACTCTTATGGAGGGTGGGTGGGTGACCCTCAATATGCTCTGCATATCTTGAGTAATAGAAATTGTTTTCCTTTTCTTAAAAGAATATTTGCAGTTTGAGTAAAGATTATTGATCCAATAGTTTCTTTAGAGGTTAAAATGACCTTCTTGCTCAAACATTTTAGCACAGTGATGGCAAGCCCTTTAGAGACTGAGTGCCCAAACTGCAACCCAAAAAACCCACTTATGCATCATCGGGTGCCAGGTGGGTGTGGCCAATTGGGTGGGTGTGGCCCATTGGGTGGGCGTGGCTGCAGTGGTAATGGCAGACTGGGTGGGACTAAAAAGTTCAATTAATCAATTCCAACTTTGCAAGATCTTTTTTTCCCCGCGAGAAATTGAAATTGACTGATTGATTGAACCTTTTTTTTTTTTTTTGCACACAGCGGCAGAGGCCTAAAGCGAAAAGGTTTTACAAAACCCAGCTGAAGGCCTAGGACTGGGGTGACGGCGCGCGTGCCCACAGAGAGGGCTCTGCATGCTGCCTCTGGCACCCGTGCCATAGGTTCGCCACCACTGTTTTAGCAGCTTCAGTGGATGCACCACCTTTAGGCTTATTTGATGGAGAAAGCTTGGTCAAAGTTATCTAGCTTTGGCAACTATCCTTACAATGTGTGATGCTACAGTTGCCGTAAAATCATGCTGGCAGTTCTAATTATTGGATTCGGGGCTTTGGTTATATTATTCCCCACTGTCCCATCACGTTGGCTTCTATATGTGTTCTTGGTCCTTGTCAAAAGTATTTGTTTTAATTTGTGATGCCTTATGGTGCTCAAGGCCAAGCTACTTGACAGGCTATCTCTCTACGTATCTATTTTTAACTTCTTTATTGACATGGTCACAGGTATCCCCACCTAAGGCCATAGTTATCTCTTCAGTTACATATCTACGCACTGTTAATATTCTCTTTCTCTTCTCTCTTTCTCGCTTTTTACAGTTAGAGATAACTTGACATTTTGTATTCATTATTTATTTTTCTTCTTTGTGCTTTGATCCTTTTAGTCTTGAAGGAAAGCTACATGGAATTCAAAGGCTCTCGTTTTTTCCTTTTCCTTTGGCATTTCTATGAACATTTTGCTCAATAAAACATAAACTGTGTCTCTAGAAATAGGTTGTAGTTGACAAGGGCCTACGGCCTTGGCACTCCTCAGAACATTTTAAATGTTAACATCTGATTGTTAAAATATAATTGTGGCTCTACTGTTCTTCTATTTTAATTTCCTGATGTTGGAATGGGCATAATTCTTCCTTACTCAGGGGCTTCTGAAGAAAATCGGCATTGTTAAGCTAACATACCAATTGCATTGAGTAATTTTATTCTTGTTATTAGTCCTTACTCACTGTGATCATTGGTTGACTGAATCTTGTTTTATTTTTGTCAGAGTTTATAACACTTCTGATTCACAAGTGACAGTATTTGCAGATATTTTTCCTTTGCTAACTGCTTTGCTGGATGGGTAAGTAAAAATTAAAGCAAAAAACAAGTTCAGAACTATTTCAAAGAGAGAGAGAGAGAGAGAGAGAGAGAGAGAGAGAGAGAGAGAGAGAGAGAGAGAGAGAGAGAGAAAGAGAGAGAGAGAGAAGCTACAGACATGATAATATGTCTGCCACAGAAGTATGCCAACAATCTTTTCTCCCAAACTGTAGAACAGCTAATTAAGGATGCTATAAATTAAATACTTCAGGAAGAATCAGTCCCATAGTAATTCTAGTGAATCGCTAGTGAGCATCAAAAAGTTGCTGTTTTCTTTGACCTTTTAAGAGACTCTAGACCACAATGGAAGGAGTCCTTCCCCAAATGTTGATTGTCTGTACAAATAACCACATTTTCTACTAATCGCAATTAATGTACTGATTGGAGAAGTTTTGTCCTCAACTGCAACCAGCTTCTGTTTCAAAATACAGTACCTACTTTGAAATGTGTTTTTCCCCCTCACAGTTATTACCATTTGAAATCTGTTTGCATTGGATTGTGATTGCTCACTCCATATTTTTGATTAATGGTTGTATTCTACTTCAAATACCTCATAAATAAGTACAAAAATAAATTACTCGTCCAAATAGAACAATTAGACATCTTCTAATTAAATATGTAAGGACTTTTCTTACACCTCAGAAGTACTGCACTTAGGTCATAGAAGGTCCTATGCTATATCCTTCCCCTTTTTCTAATTCTGATACCTTTTTATATAAATAGCCATATTTTTCCTTTTTCTCTGCACTATATCCTGTTTTACCTATTGATTTATCATAACCTTCTTGAGAGTTATATTACTCTCAAGGGTAGATCTGGTTGGGAAACCACAATAACATGTTAGAGAATTTATTGCTCCAGTAGAGCATGAATTTCTGTGCTTTATAAAAACCTTACCGGTAGGTATCTAACTTCATTATAAAGCCTGTCCATCTGGAGCACTATCTGGGGAGCATTGGGTTCATGAAAATACTGTCTCTATGCTACCTGAAGCTTGCAGGGCAAGTGGTATTAAAGCAAGAAGAGTACTTTCAGATTTGAGTTTTAAAAAGTTGCTAAGGCAGGCATTGCAGTCAGATTTAAGTGCGTGTTCTGTGCTACACAGTGTAGCAGGAAAGATGATCTTGTATCACTGTGAATGAATCCTGCTGGCTTTACTGTATTTCTTTCTTATTAAGTCAGTAAAATAAGGTTTTCGGTGATACTTTAAAGCAAATACTGGAGGCTTTTTTTGAGGCAGGGGGGAGAGGTCTGGAGCCTCACTTCCATTTTATAAAAAATATCCACCAGAAGACATAAACGATGTGGCCATTGTCACCAGTGAACAGGGCTTAGACTTTTAGGCTTTGGAGGAAGAAATTAATGGGTGGAAAGAATGCATCCATTGAGCTCCTTATTTTAGTGCACATACACAAAATCTTGTTTGTTGAAAATTGCAGTCAACTTGCCAATGGAACCCAGTCTCTTGCCTCTGTTCCAGCTGTTGGAACCAGGACACTCGCTCCAAGGAAGAAATGGGAAAGCATTACCCTAAAAGCAATGATCTGATTTTGCTTCTGTCCTTCTATCTTTTCTATTCTGTAGCATTCCTTGTTTTCTGCTAGGAAGAAAGAAATTTATTTCCTCATTCATAGAAATGTTCAACTGGGGATAGGTAAAAGAGACATGCAGGTGAGAGGTGGAGCATTTTTACAATTATTATTCCACTATTGGAACAATTCTGTGCAAATTAGTAAGAAGTGCAAATTAGCAAGCTTCCTTCCAAGGTTTAGTTTTGATCACTTAATGTTGGTCTTTAAGAATCTTCTCTCTACTTTTCAGGTCCAATGTGTGTATTATGGCTTATGGGCAGACTGGTAGTGGGAAAACATACACAATGTTGGGCCCACAGCTTGAAAACAGTTTCCGTTTCTCGGTGGAAGGTGAGACAGAATTAGGAATCATTGCTAGAGCCAGCAAAGAAGTATTCAGGTATTGATTATACTGAACATTCGTGGGTATCCATGTATTTATTTCAGTTTTCTTTAAGAAAAATTATTTGCTTATTACCATAAGAGTGTCAAAGTTGCAGTTGCAATCAGGGAGATAAGAAGTGGGGGGGGGGAATCAACAAGAGTGCATTCTTTAAAAAGCTTAATAAAACCCATGTCTCAAAAGGATACTGTAATAGATTTTTTTTACAATTGGTCTAAGAGTAGAACGTTTCCAGAGTTGTTTAGCAGATTCTTACAGAACATAAAGGCCTTTATGAGGAAATTGCTGTGATGTAATCACCAGCCCAATGACAGATGGGCATCATTAATACATTTACTGTACTGGGTTTTATTTTTCTAAATAAATCATGAAAAGATCAAATCATCCGAGTGAGACTTGAATAGTTCTTGTGGCCTATAATTTAAATAATTGTGAACACCAATTCAGAAAACAGGAAAGTGGACATTTAACACTTATCAACATACTTAGATAAAATAAATCAGCTGACAGCAAATGGTTGCAGTTTCGATACAGAATTATTTACACTTTTCATTCATAGTGTTTCCGTACAAGTCTGTCTCTGTTGCAGTGATTGATGCCTTGTTCTTTGTGATTTTCAATCATTGCTTTGTATATTTACTGTACAAAAAGGCTTCCTCCTTTTACAATTATGAGATTGTTCTTTGAAATTTGGGAGTAGTCTTTTAATAAAGGATAATGGCAGATGTGCACAAGAAACTGGGTGCCCCTTCCACTTCTGAATCAGGCACTGTACGTTCTACAAAATACCCTGGAGCATTTGAATTATTGAAAGATCAAATAAAAACTGCTATCTATCAAGGAAACTAGTGAACTTGTCCACAAATAGGCTGAAAATATGAGGCGAGTGAATTGGATGTCGAGATAGGTCAGCGGAAGAAACTCTGCTAGCTATGCTTACTGCAAGTTGTCCTACTGAAGACATAGCAATAATTTAAGCATGAGCCTTGAAACTGTGCAGTTCTTTATGCAAACTGTTGCAGCATATGCCTTGAGACTTTGTATATAAACTCCGAGATCTTATATGCAAGAGACTGAATACAAAAACTTGAATCGATAGATATATGCTATTACATTTCAATTCTTTTTTTCATACAAAAGAGATCGTCCATTAGTTCTGGGAAGAAAATTGATTTCTCAGGCAGCCTTCTAGTCAAGGAGGATTTTGTTTTGATTCAGCCTGGTATATACATGAAATGATATTGTACACTAGAATTTTGTTGCGTCTATTTGGCCCGAAAACGGAAGTTCTGTGTAAAATACCTATGAGCTTTCCTTATCTTCCTTTGTCTATCTATAGTACCCTGTTACTTCCAACAACTTAATGTAGAAAATTGGTAATGTATTTATTGATAAATATAATAATAATAATAATAATAATTACAAGATTCTTGCAAAATTTTGTTAATGTATCCTTACAATAAAATAAAATTAGTTTATCTAGTCATGTCTCCAGTCTACTTGGGAGGGTTGATATCAATATTGCAAATCTGAAGGCACAGACCTCCCACCCCCATTTTTAACTGCTTGATCCATTAGAGCAGGGGTCTTCAAACTTGGCCCTTTTATGACTTGTGGACTTCAACTCCCAGAATTCCTCAGCCAGGCGCTCTGGCTGAGGAATTCTGGGAGTTGAAGTCCACAAGTCATAAAAGGGCCAAGTTTGAAGACCCCTGCATTAGACTCTTTCCTAAGTTTCTCTCTCTAACTGCTAAGCCATTGGGAGCTCCTGTGTCTCTTACCTGAATGTTTCCATCTCTTCCTGTTCCTCCCCAAGATCACCCACACATTCCATTAAATTTGCAGAGCTCTAAAGCATGTTACAGAATAAGCAGTGCATAAATAGTTTGAATCACATTTTAGAACAGCTCAGCTATCTCAGAAAAGCAACGAATATCCAAAGATTATGGACTTTGGGTATCCATTCAAGTAGTAATAATCTGCTGGATCACAAGCATAGTTTATTTAGGTTGGGTTTTTTTTTGTTGTTGTTGTTTTTAATTTCAGTCTTTTAAGCCCTTTTTCTTCTTTCAGGCTTCTTTCAGAAAAGTCACCAGGAAGCCATTTGGTTGAGGTTTCTGTTGTAGAAGTGTATAATAATGAAGTTTTTGATCTTCTGGCCAAAGACAACTCTGGAAGGCTGAATGGTATCAAAAGGGATATAATGACAAATAAAGAAGGAAAGAATGATATTCCACTTCTTACCAATGAGTGAGTACACAGGGAGTGTCTTTGAATAGCAACATGTTGGGCAACACAGGCCATTGGGGCATTGTCAAAAAAATGTGAATTTAACATTGATCAGAGTGTCCTCCATCCCATATCTGTTTGTTTCTTATTAACATTGTAACACTGTGGGTTTTTTTTTAAAAAACCTCTCAATTGCATGGAAACATTTCTTCTATTTCCTCTCCTAAAGTTTATGTAATTCAAGAAGATCCAAATGGGGAAGGGTTATAGTGGCACATTCAAACTTCACTCTGGTATTTTTCTGTGTACAAATCCTCCCACGTTTAGCACAAAAGATACAGAAAGGAGTAGAAAGCAAATATGGCTCATGTGTTTGGAAATCTTTACAGCATTCAGGAACCAGTTTTATCAAGGTTTCCAACTTTAGGGCTCTTGCGCGTGCGTCTCATTAGGGCCCATAATGAAGATCCAGTTGACTATAAGATTAAAACAATAGAATACCACAATGCATAATAAAGCACAAAATAGTAGTCAGAAAAATGGCTGGCAGGGTTGCTTCAGCTTCACCAAATTCCAATTTAGCAGAAAGCAAATTGGTGAAATTGCTATCTGTCATCCTTCCTTTTCCCCCAAGATATTCATGGTCAGTCTCAGCTTACCTTTGGCTTTTCTTCTAGGCAGGTGTGAGTCTCCCCACACCTAGTCCAAAGCTTAACCATGATGGCGCCTCATATATGTAAAGCTGCCAGACAACTGACACATGCAGTTATAGTGGAAACTCTCTAGTTAGCTTTGCACGTGTTGTTGTAGCTTTGCACGTGTATATGGATTTCAAATGATCTGTTTCCACCTAATTTTTTTCAAGCTATGTGCCTTGGGCTGATGGTGGGGTACATTGTACAATTTTGCTTATGCAGGTAGTCCTTGACATACAATCGGTCACTTAACAATTGTTTTATGTTACCATGGATCCCCCCCCCTCCTGGAAATACTTAGGATCCGGTTTCAAAGTTCCAACATCTGGGGGGGCACAGTCATGTGATCACATTTTGGGTCCCCAGCAATCGATCCACATTTATGGCCATTTGAAGCGCCCCGTGGTCACATGAGCACAATTTATAACATTTTTGCCAGTAAGCAACATTTATTTCTGGTTTCCAGAAAAAAAAAAAAAGCAGCCCATAGCAACAGTTGGTTCACTTAATGACTGCTGCAAAATAGGTCATAAAATCAGATTCAGTCAGGTGGTGACCCACTTTACAACCATCACAGCTTAGAACTGTAATTGCAGGGTTCAATTGCAGTCATAACTCGAGGATTATTTGCACGTGGACCTTCAGTAGAGAAGGACTACAGATGATTTTAAGAAGAATTTTGCCACACGAAAATCGTTTCTTGTGTTAAATTCCAAAGTAAACTCTCTTTCTGACCTCAGTGGAATTGAGATTTTTTTTTGCTGCTCCTTCAGCTTGCAAAGTTGCATTGCATAGTGCAAGCATTCCATGTATGGTTTAGCAGAGGAAGGGAGAGAGGGAAATGGAAGTCAGACACAACAGTCCTTTTATTTCCTTTATAAACTATAATATACTGCACCCACAAAAGAGATAATTTAGGCAGTATTTTTGTCTGTGGGTTTTACTAACATAAGCAAACCACTGGAGCTTTGTTTATGTGTTTCTCTGTTATTGCCAAAAAAGCCTTGATTTAAAAATATGCCAAACACACTGGGGGTAGGGGAGTCTGAGCAGACATAATTCTCTCCATCTGGTTTTATAATCTGCATAGCCTGATCACAAAACAGAAAAAAAAAATAATATCCCCCCTTTTTTTAACCCACAATCATGGTTTGAACATTTCCTTAAGGCTGATATTTTAGGGGCAGTAAATTTTCTTTTTATATTTAATGGCTAGTGGGAGGGCAGCTGGATTCCTGTCATTAAGAACAATAGTTTTTAATTTTAAATAATAAGGGTGTAATTAATTTGAAAAACAGGATAATATTTTAAGAGTTCAAAGGTTTTTTTTTTTAAAAAAAAAAGCCAACATCTGAGCTTTTAAATTTTAGTAAGAAGAATTAAACAAAACCAGATAACTATTGAAATTTTGTCATCTTCTAAAGGAGGTTTTAAAAGTGCAGCTTCCTTTTGTTCACAGTACTGCCAATTTTGGCCCATTTCTCCAGTTTTAAGGAAATGTCTGGAAAGGGTTTTAAAGAACAAAGTGAGTATCTTCAACCAGTGTTTTTCAATCTCAGTAACTTTAAGATGTCGTTTACTTGAACTCCCAGAATTTCCCTACCATTGTAGAGGACTAGGCATAATCTTTTATCTGTTAAAAACTATCCCTACCCCGATTTTGGGGGGAAAAAGTTGTACTTTCAAGAAGTGGCTATCAATACATCAGGTCCAATGTAAACATCAAGTTGTTAAAGTTCTGCTTTCCCCTTCTGAACCATCTCATTATTCTATGTCGGTTGTTTAGCTCGAAGTAAACCTCTGTCTTGCTTGGTGGTTTGCAGTGTCTAAATCCTGCTGCACAATGAATTAATTAAAAGTGTGAGGACAATCTGCAGAGCAAAATAGGCTGCTTCCTTCTGCGTAACTGCAGGAAAAATGACAAAAGGAATGGACCACAGAGAGATTGAATTAAAGCAGCCCCTTGCATTACTCATCCTCTTTCTCAACAATACAGCTAGACTCTGGCCTTGGCCAGGCAACTGATGATTAATATTTAAAAGCCCAGAAGTTTGCAGGATAATTTATAATTTGTGTTGGTGCTCTGAAGTTCAGATGAAAGAGAATTGGTTGCAAAAACCAGAATTTGTGTCATGTGATATAAAACTGATAGGAGAAAAAGATCTCCTTCCCCACCCCCACTCACAGTTGTTCCAACTTGTAGCAAAAAAAAAAATTTAAAGTATAACTTTCAGGGAAAGCCATTAAGAAAAATATTTCTGTAGCTGAAACACATACAGTTCATGTTAAATTCCACACAATTAAGAAAAAAATGTACCAATAAATGCACAAATTTATACAGAAAACTGAAAACCAATGTAAAAGAAATAAAACATTCATGGTTCTTGGCTGCCCCAACTCTCTGGAGTCTGAAATATGCTATTGGGAGTTTGAATAATATTTCATCTGTAGTTGAATTTGTGTAGATAAAGCATGGGAAACCCTCAGCGCTCTCCCCCAAATATCATGCAAAGCAGTAAAAATAACTGTTAATTTTGCTTCATCTGGTTAATCAAGAGAACAAAATTGGCTTGTTTTCTTCTTCAAAGAGATGTTCACAGGCAGTATGTTTGCCTTCCCTTCAGCCACTATGTCAGTAGGATTTTGATCTGCCCAAGATGCAATGATACCATCCATGACAAACCATCTTCCAATCTCTATTTGGTTATAGTTAAGGAAGGAAGAATCCTGATTTTTCTGAAACAGTCTTTCCATTGTTAAACATCTATTCCGCTAAGAAGTATGTTTTCATGTTTAGCCAAAACCTGCTTCCTTTGCACATTCCACACAGTAGTTCTACTTTAACTTTGGGATAAGTTCCAAAAGATATGTCTACTGTTTGTGATCTGTTTATCTGTAACAAAAACAGAGAGCAGTTAATACATAGGAATGGAGAAGAGAGACAGGAAACTTAGTGGAGATGCATGCTGAATAGATCATTCCTAACCAAATCTTTTCAGTTTGAAATGGTTCCTGACACGGGCAGCATAGAGGAGCATCTTTGAATGAATTGATGATTGCTTTCAAAAATACAGTTACAATTAAGCAATCTATTCATACTCATACTAATTTCTGTGAACATTGGCTCATGTCGTCCTCTAATAATCATTGAATTTTCCTGCAATTTTAATCTGTTTTGATTTTAAAAATGTTAGATACTGGCAGGAATTTATATTTTCTTTGCTTTGTGCTAAATAATAGTGAGTAAAGTTTCATTTTCCCCAATCTATGATCTAGAATCAAATCTGGACAGGATGCTTTAGATTAATTCTGAGGGGCTGCCACAAAGAAGAGGGGTTCAAATTATTCTCCAAGGCACCAGAGGGCAGGACAGGAAACAATGGTTGGAAACTGACGAAAGGAGAGAAGCAACCTGGAATTAAGGAGAAACTTCCTAACAGTGAGGACAATTAGCCAGTGGAACAGCTTGCCTCCAGAAATCGTGGGTGCTCCATCATTGGAGGTTAAGAAGAGGCTAGACAGTCACTGGTCTAAGATTGTATAGCTCCTCCTGCTTGAGCAAGGGGCTGGACTAGAAGACCTTCAAAATCTCTTCCAGCTCTATTCTATTCTATTCTTATTATTCTTATTCTAATTTGGATTATGATAGGTTCTTTCCTCAGCAATTGGCTAACACTGGATCAAACTGAACTTTCTCTTCATAGCCCTTGTTTCATTTCTTGAAAAATATATTGATTTCCCCAAGACTGCAGTATTTTAGATTTGTTAAGCTTTCTGAAACTGAAAGCTTTCCTACAACACTGATTTCAAGGAACAGTAAATGGCTTGCTAGAAAACAGTGTAACATAATTAACAATGTTTCATTGTGAAAGCATTATATATACAAGCGATATCATTTTGTCATTCCCCCTGAATATTTTGCTGTAAAATAATTCTAGATGCTCTGACTTTTATAAAAATATTTAATGTATGTATACATATATTTTCTAAGACCTGTTGAAGATGTTGTGGAATTCTTGGAGCTTGTTACCCGGGGGCTACAGCTGAGGACCAAACACTCAACCCTTGTACACACTGATTCATCTCGTTCACACCTTGTGATAACTTTGACAATAACCATCAAGGGTACCACAGAGGATGATTTTGGTAAGAAGCTTGTTTATGGTATACTTTTAATATATATATAAAAATAGAACCATAATAAGATTTCACGTGTTCGTACGATTTCATGAAGTCCTCGCTCATTAACAGTAAGCGGGATTGGAAACTCTGCTGCTAAGCTTAACAGTTGTTAAGCATGACATCATTTGGCTGCACCACTTAGTGATAGCAGTTCCAGAAGTCTCAATTGCTGTCATTAAGCAAGGACTATGCAGATTGTTATGGGAAGATACCATGTGACTATGACTTTAAATTTCTTGCTGGCTTCACCATTGACTCAAGCGAATTGCAGTCACAATTTGGGACTGTGGGATGTTGAGATGTAATTGTAAGCCAGTCAGCAAGTGCCAGAATTGCAATCATGGGGACTTTGCAACAGCTGCAACTATGAGGACTAGTCGTAAGTACCACATGTTCAGCAGCATTATGACTTTGAACAGCTGCTGCACAACTACCATTAAATGAAGACTGCCTGCACTTTGTCCCTTTTCTGCATGTCATGTGGTAAACACAAAAGGGGGGGGGACCTACGATGGCATGATGCTGCTAACAGCATTTGAGCTTGTAGACACCTCTGAGATTTCCTAAAGGCTGGAACAGTGGAGGCAATATATAATTCCTAAGGAATACTTTCCATACCCCAACAACAGTGCAACAGAATGGCCTTGCCTACATATATTAAACTCTGTTAGTGGCGTTATCTTCAAGAGGACTTCTCCTACTGATCTTAACAATTGGACAGGTCCATAATTGGAGACTAGATTCCTTAGATAGTCAGACTCTTAGCCATTTATGGCTTTAAAGTTCAATTGTGCCCAGTAAACAATTGGCAAGCATCTATACCTTTTGGGCAGGCATCATATTATCCCTGTGTCTAGCTTTTTGTTATTAGACAAGCTGTAACATTTTTAGCCTTAGGTCTGCAGGTCTTTAGAAATAATCCAAGCCTATTGTATGTTTAATTTTGTAGGTTCAAAATAAACTTTTTTTTTTCCTTATTTTTGTCCAGCTGCTCCCTGGACAGGTGACCATTCTAATCAAAAGCTGGGCAAAGAACATTTCTTCACTTCTGCTTGCTCTTCTAGAGCTTGTTCACCAGCACAGCTTTCCAGGGAATCTGTGGAGAGACGGAAGGAAATGAGAACAAAACTTCAACTGGTGGATTTAGCTGGCAGCGAAAGTGTTGGTAAGTTAGTCTTTTGGAGCAAAACCATCCTATGCTTGTGAAGAGATAAGCCTAGTTGGCATTTAGCTTCCAAAAGTACATGCAACATATGGACACTCCAAGGATCATATCAGAAATCCATCAGATTAGATTTTTGATGTCAAGCTGGTAAACGGGAAGAGGCAATGCTTGAGTAGCCCCAAAGCAAATTTATTTTTGTATCAGTGGGTAGGAAAAGATCAGGGGTGGGGGAAAAAGGCTCCCCCCCCCTTTTTTTTTTTTTTTGTTCTGAGGTTGGAGTTAACATAAAATTGCTTTGTTAAGTCTCTTGGAAGTTTGACATTTTTCTTCTATTTCTTATTTTGGTAAGAAACCCACTGAAAATGTCACCACCTTTATTTAATAGTTAGAAGCCAATTTAAGCACTATGCTTGTGAGGAAGCCAGGAGGCAGACAAAGGGCTGCTGCCGGCTACTGGTGTAGAATATGTTCACTTTGGTTGCTTAATATTTATGCAATACTTATTCTCCTGAAAAAAGTCAGAGTTCCAAACTCCTATTTCTTTTTTTTTTTTTTTTTTTTTTTTGACAAAGCTTCAAAGTGAGTGTACTGATTTTTTGTTGTTGTTGTTGCCTCATTAAAAAATTAAGTTACGCTGGTGGTACACAAATGTTAGAACCCTGCTAACAATTTGCCTGACCTATCTTTACTGTCCTCTACAAGCATCCATGCATTGCTTTACTCTAAAAAATAAAATAAGGGAGTTGGCTGAGAACATTACATTTCGTGACCTTTGAATATTTAGTATTCAGTCACCTATAGTGTGCTGGTACCCCACTGCATGACGGCTGGAATAAGCTGGTATAAAAAGCTCCCATGGCTATGTGAAGCTTTCTTAATGCCAGTCTATAGAATCTCATACTATCTGCCCATTCTCTCTTCCTGCCCCCCCCCCAAACGGCCAGCATTTTGAGTTTATTGAATGGTCAATCTCAACCTCAAATCCCATTTTTGGATGGTTTTCTTGACTCAAAACCTTTGGCAAATCTTAGCATTCTTCTAAGTCACCCATGAAATCAGCTCATCTCTCTCTCTCTCTCTCTCTCTCTCTCTCTCTCTCTCTCTCTCTCTCTCACACACACACACACACACACACACACACACACACACACATCTTAATATTATGCTGTTTAAGCAGAAATGTTTGATATAGGATCTCCTGCCATGGATATGAGAATAAGGTCACTTCCCACCCTATTATTCTATGTTCTGTGTAAATATGCCACATATTTGTTAAAACACACTTAATTTGTAAAGACCTAGTTCTCTGGAGAAGACTCTAATACTGGACAAGATGGCAGGAAAAAGGAAGACAACAACCAGCAGCAAAGTAGATGGATTCAGTTACAGTGTCAGTGAGTTTTGGAAGACCTGAAGGAGCAGATTAGGGACAGGCTGTCACGCAGAAATCTATCTCTGTGGTCACTAGGAGTTGAAAATGGCATGATAGCACATAATCAATTAGTATAAATAAAATTTTTGAATCTCCTTATGGAAAAGAATAGTAGGAGGAATATTAATGGTTTTTATAAACAATTTTCTGTTTTCTTTGGCTTCTACCCTTCCCAAATGTTTTCTTCCATTTTTAAAAACACAGGGTTTTTTTTTCTCCCCACAAATTCTGATCATTTCCTAAAGTACAAGCTTCCTTACCAATAAAAGCCACTTAGTTAAGTGTAACCTTCCAGAAATAATGTTTTGAAAACTGAACCTAGGTTATAAAAGCACCCTTTTCTTGACTGCCAAGTGCTCTTTTTTTTCTGGTCAAGTAAATAGTGAACTTTAAAAAGAACTTTTAAAGTTTGCTTTTTACACCAGAATGCAGTTGAACCATATTATACATTTCCACCATTTACTGATGAGAATCATTTGATGGTCTGTTCCTATGAAAATCCAGATCTTGGCGGGAAGTATCATATGGCATCATTAACTGCAGAGATTAATACCAATTTACCTACCGGTATATTAACATTTACATAATAAATAGAGTAGCATAGTAATCCTAAACACATTTATTCAGAATTAAGGCCAACTGTATTCAGGGGATTTCAGTCCCAACTCCATGTTAGGATTGCAGTTGTGCTCTTAATTAGGATTATAGAAGGAGTTTGCTGAAGTGATAAAGAAAAGGAAAAGAAACATTTTATTTCTCTAACATTGAGAATAATCTCAGCATGATTTTCTCTATCACAAAATGTGTCATATTGTGGATACACTTTTACTATAAATTGAATTTCAAAGCTGAATAATTTATTTGAATTGATCATTGAACTATAAGAATGTCACATATGTTTCATCAGAGCAATTTTTTGTGGTCAGTGATTCCTTCATGTGGTAAATGCTGGCTTGATTCAGTTGGGGCATAGTTTGATTGAAGCTGCCCAGAGTTTAACATAACATGGGCAGCTATGTAAATATCTTAAATAAATAAATACTGCCTTAAAAATAATGAGACTTGAACTTCTGTGCAAAAAATATATAAAAAATTAATCTGTGCTTATTTTAGGTTTGTACAATCCCTCACAATTTAATAGTGTTACCTTGCCAGCAAAGTGCCTTCTAATCATTATTTATATTACTTTGTCTTTATATTGGTATATATATATATCTCAAGCATATTTTAAAGTGGACTGTGTTAAAAATTTGTCTTTTTTCATCAAAAACGATTCAATTCCAAAGTGAGGAGAAAGGTTGTTGCACTTGTAAGCTTTGCATGGACCTCTTGCATTAAGTCTGTATATCTTTTATTACTTAGATTAATCTTGTACTAATCTGATTCTCTTTAAATATGGTGACATTACACTTCTCAGACTACAGTTAGCACATATTAAGCAACATGGTCCTTGATGTCTAGGAATTCTGGGAGTTGAAGTCCCATAGGAAGGGTATCTGCCTTAGAAAAGTTGAAGCAACTCATTTCATATATTTTAACAGGGCCCTGAAAGTGCTTCTCTATTCTGATGGTATGGATTATATGTTTACTTCTTCAACCTTGTGTAAAGCCAAAGTATAAATCAATAAGTTTATTTATAGTTTTTAGTGTTTCCTGCTACATGGTTTCTTCAGTTGTATTCATTTTTTATTCATTGCTTGTTTATATGTTGTTGTGCCATTGTGGACTCTTAACCGTCACATAGATAGACTTTCTCCATGATTATTTGTCCCTAACTTGGTCCTTCAGTTCTTCCAATGGTGCAGTCATCACTACTAAAACTGAATCTATCCACCTTGATCATCATCTTCTCTTTCCTTCCACTTTTCCCAACAGTGGAGATCTAGATCCTCGCATAATATGTCCAGAGTAGATAGTTTGAACCTGGTTATTTGTATCTCAAGTGAGAACGCTGACTTGTTTTGTTCAGTGGTATGTATGTTTGTTTTCTTGGCTGTCCACAGTATTCTCAAGAATTCTCCAACTTTTTGTCCACCAAAGCTCAAATGTGGCATATGCAGGAACTAGAAGTATGAAATTATGCAAAACATTTACTTTTATTTTCAGATGTGGGTTGTTTTTGTGATTATTGTACTAGGTATGTCTGGTGTAACTGGGTCACTGTTGAGAGAGACCTCCTTCATTAATCGCAGCTTGTCTGCTCTAGCAGATGTACTTGGAGCCCTATCAGAACAGAACTCTCACATTCCATATCGAAATAGCAAACTTACATATTTGCTACAGGATGCCATAGGTGAGTATAGCTTGGTACAATATAATACTTATTTATATACCTATTATTAATACAATTGATTAGTATTTCTATACCAATTTTCAAATGTATAGTTGATACAGAAGTGTGATTTCAAGAAGCAAAGGTAACTTTAATGATAGGATGCTAAATCCTTATTTTAAGCAAGGAGAGATATGTTGTGATTCCGTGCCAGCCTGTGCTCCCAACAGCTGAGTCTGAGGAATCTGAGGAGGAGGTGGAGGAGGCATTTGAAGGGCCATCAGGGGCAGAGGGAGGCTCTGATGAATTACGACTCACTGTTTGATGCAGAGCCTGGGCCCTCCAGTCGTGTTCCTGATGAAGCTCAGCTGTATGAGGAGAATGAGTCAGACTCGGAGGACTCACACCTGATGGACATGCTAATTGATGCTCGCACACGTCGTCAATTAGCGAGAGTAAATCAGCAGCAGTCAATACAGCAACTCCAGAGTAAAAGGAGAAGGCACTGAGAGGCAACGCCTTGGGACTGCTGTATAAAAAGAGGAGGTGTGGGCGGTGCTGGTTGCTGAAGGCAACCGTTTGCAAAGTACTTCTTTGGATCCTTGTCTGTTCGCCTTGCTTGTGACTACTCTTCTGTTTGCATGGTATTTCCTGTGGACTATTTCCTTCATTTGGATTGAGTTTTGCTGTTTGTGTTTTGAACTATTTGGCAGGTTTGTCACCCATATTAAAAGGTTTTTGTTTTGTTTTAAAGTCTCCAGCCTATTTTATCAACAGGGGTTTGATCCTTGTGCCTTTAATAAGGATGACTATAGGCTGGGATAGAACAAGATACTAGATTCTCTAACTGTTCATTTTTTATTTTTCTAGCAAGATTCCTACTATTTGACTATGTCATATGCATATTGTAAAGTGAGATGGTTACCAGAATGAAAGAATAGCCCTTCTGGATCAGACCAAGGCTCATCCGAATCCATTGTTGTGTTTCTCACAATGGCCATAACAGATGTCTCTGGACTGCTCACAAGCAAATGTAGAAGAGAGCCAGCTTGGTCTAGTGGTTAAGGAACCAGGCTAGAAAGCAGGAGACCATGAGTTCCAGTCCTGCCTTAGCCTAAAAACCAGTTTGGGCCAGTCACTTTCTCTCAGCCCAAGTCACCTCACAGGGCAGTTGCTGTGGGAAAAATAGGAGGAAGAAGATGTGTTGGATATGTCCGTCATCTTGAGTTCTTTGTAAAAAAAAAAATAAGCTGGAATACAAATAAATGAATACTCCTTTCCTGTTCTCCCCTACAACTGGTATATGGAGGGATACTGCCATCAATCAGCAGGAATATTGAATTCTTTAGACCAGTGGCTCTTGACAGACCTGTCCATGAATGTGTCCAGTCTGCCAAGTTAGCAATGTATTGTGATAATTATGCACGATATGAAGCTGCACTATTGTAAACCGTTCAAGCAACTTCTTTGGATCATTCCCGGTTGTCGAGTTTTCAGCAAAGGAAAAAAAAAATTGTCTCTCTGGCCATTTTCTCCATATTGTCAATGATTTTATATACCTAGCCATCCCGTTTCCTTTTTCTTGATAAAGAGTTCCAAGTGTTCTAATGGTTTCTCATACTGAAGGTATTTGAATGACGTAATTATTTTTGGTTGAATATTGTCTATTGGTTGATGTTTAGCCACTTGAAGAGTTCCTTCTGGAGCTCTTCACAAACATTTTTGGTTTTCCCCACCATTTGTTATTATTTGCACGCTTGAGATGCTTGGTACTTATCCAGGGTCAAGATCATTAGGAACAAGTTAAAAACCACTTGTTTCAACACAGGCACTTCAGGGACTCCACTTCTTATACCCTCCATTGAAAAAAATGGTCCCTTTATTCCTAGACTTTGCTTTGCTTTATTAATCATCCATACAGACACACATTATTATCCTATCTCATGGCAACTAAATTTATTTAAGAGCAGTTGTAAAGTTTCTTTTACAACACTAATTCCTAAGCACTCTGCATTTCTTACTCAGACAGGAATGATTCAAACGTGCTTTACTAGAGGTTTTCTTCTTATAGTATTTATGTCCTAGCTTTCTGGAGTCAAGGTTTGGCATTGGGGCATCTGAATCAGTTAACATGCATATCTTTCTAATTCTTTTTAGGTGGTGATGCAAAGTTGCTGGTGATATTGTGTGTCTCTCCAAGCCAGAAGTACATAACAGAGTCACTTCAAACCCTAGGATTTGGATCCCGTGCTCGGAAGGTTCAGAGAGGACATGCCAAGAAAAGAAATGAACTGGCACTGAACAAATCCAAATAAGGCATAAGCCATCTATGGATTAAAACTTTATTAATGAGTTCCTCAGATTGAAAAATAATCTTGTTATAAATATATATATAAATTGCCTTTTAAAATAAGTACTCTTTAATGCAGTACTGGCAAGACATAAACATGCTAAGCAATATTAGTTGCAAAAATAATTGGTGATATTAACCAAAAAAACCCCTCATATAATAATGTTTTTAGGAAGAACAGGAAGATACTAATATTTATATGAGAAAGTCTTTTGACAGAGAATGTCTACAATATAGATCAAGATGGGCAGCTAGAGTGTCTACAACCTATGGACTTCAACTTCCAGAATTCTGGGAGCTGAAGTCCACAGTTCATAAAGATACCATAGTTGCCAACCCCTAATCTAAATGGGAGTTATGCAATTAATTCAATGGCAGTTGGCTCAATCTCTGATGAATACATGGAGAAAGTGTCACTATCCCAACTTTTTCCAGTACCTACCCATAACTTTCTAATTCATCATCTTTCAGAACATTTCCCCAAAGTCTTACAGTGTAACTATAATTGAGCAACTGGAATGTCCTGAATATTGACATTGCTATGGTTTGTTGGAAAAAAATATACTGTTTATTTTTTCTTACATATGTAAAGCAGGCATTCCCCAAGTTTATGATGCCCCGATTCCCAAATAAATACATATATATGTGTGACTTTCTCCTTCGTTCTATGAATCACAATGCCATTGGTTGTCCAGCCAGGGATGAGTGTGGTCTGGCAGTCATCCAACAAGAGAGGCTTGTACCCCAAAGCTGAATTGTTTTTTGTTTTTTTTTATTAAAAAGTTTTATAAATTTTACAAAAAGAACAAAACAATACAAGAACAAAAAACAACATATACAAAGAAAAAACTAAACATTACACAACAAAAACCCCCCTTCCCCAACCCCCACCCAAACACCCCCCCTTCCCCCACCCCGAGCTTCCCAGAGCAGAATATAGGCTTAATTAAAAAACAATTTAAAAATTATGTTTATATATATAAAAAAAGAAAATATAGCATTAAGATATATATGTATATATATAAAGATAAAGATTATGAAAAGGCTAGATAATATTTTTTATATCCAATTTAAACTGTATAAATTTTATCCACTTATCCCAAACAGCAAGAAATTTCTCTTGCGTTTGTTCCTTTAAAAAAGCCGAAATCTTTGCCATTTCCGCCAAATAAGACACTTTAAGAAACCATTCCTGCAATGTAGGCAAAGATTCCTTCTTCCAATATTGTCCTACTAACAGCCTCGTGGCTGTAATCAAATTTAACATCAATATAACCTCCTTTGTATCACAATCAGTAACTATACCCAACAAAAATAATTGCGGAGTAAATTTTACCCTCCTTCTAAAAATTCTCTGGATATTCCACCATATCTTAATCCAAAATGCTTTTATCTCTCTGCACGACCACCAAATATGATAATAAGTAGCGTCCATACAACCACATCTCCAACATTTAGGTTGTAAGTCAGGGTACATAAGAGACATTTTTTGTGGATCAAGGTGCCATCTATAAAACATTTTATAAAAATTCTCCCTTAAGTTCTGTGCTTGTGTAAATTTGACATTTCTCACCCAGATGGTTTCCCAGGTATCTAATGGAACTGGCTCACCAAAGTTCTGCACCCATCTAATCATACAATCTTTAATTAGTTCCGTTTCTGAATCCAATTCAACTAAAACCCCATAAATCCTCTTGATATGGACTTGTCTTTGATCCTTCACTTGCTTAATAAAATTTTCATCTTCTCTAAGAAAACCCAACTTACAATCCACCTTCCATCTATCTACTAGTTGCCTATATTTGAACCAAGAATAAATAATATTTTCTTGTGCTAACTCTTCCCGTGATTTTAACTGCCAGTTTTGTCCATCCCATCTGAGTAGCTGTCTATAAGACACCATATCCATTTTAGCACCTCTTTTTATTCCTTCTATCGCATGCCAAGGTATAGCCCATAATGGTACTTTAAGATCACTTTTATAATATTTTCTCCAAGTCCTAAGTAAAGAAATTCTTAAAATATGAGCTTTAAAGACCCAATCCATTTTTTTTATTAAATATTAAATAGGCATGCCACCCAAAAAGTAAATCCCATCCCTCTAGATGGAGTATCTCAGGATTTGTCAAATTTACCCAATCACTAATTAGTGTTAGAACCACCGCATCATAGTATAATTTCAAATTCGGTACCTTGAGTCCACCCCTCTCACGGAAGTCTTGCATAATTTTAAACTTAACCCTTGGCTTTTTCCCTGCCCAAATGAATTTATTAAGGCCTTTCTGCCATTCACTTAGATTAATCTCATTCTTCAAAATCGGTAACATTTGAAACAAAAAAAGAAACTTGGGTAGAAAATTCATTTTTATCACTGCAATTCTTCCCATGAGGGATAATTGCAACTTCTCCCAATTCTTCAAGTCTTTCTGTACCCTAACCCACAACCTTTCATAGTTATTTTTAAACAGTTTTGCATTAGAAACAGATAACATCACCCCCAAATATTTTACCTTATTAACAATTTCAAAACCCGTCAAATTAACCAAAATCTGCTTCTCCTGACTAGTCATATTTTTAGGTAAAATTTTAGTCTTGTTAACATTAATCTTGAAACCCGAGACCAAACCATAATAATGAATCAATTGTAATAACTTTACTACAGAATAAGTAGGTTGCGACAAAGTAACAACCAAGTCATCCGCAAAAGCTCTTAACTTGTATTCTTTTTTGTTAACTTCTATTCTTTTAATTTCCTGCGACTCTCGAATTTTGATCAACAATATTTCCAATGTTAAAACAAACAACAACGGTGATAGTGGACATCCCTGCCTAGTACCTTTCTCTATTGTAAAAACCTCTGACAAACCTCCATTAACAATAAGTTGTGCCGTTTGTTTTTGATATATTGCCGTAAGGGCTTGTACTATCTTTTCACCAAAATTCATCTCTTCCATTACTCTTAACATAAAATGCCAATTCAGTTGATCAAAAGCTTTTTCAGCATCTAAAAATATCAGCCCTGCAGGAACTTGGTTGTTCTTATCTAAATATTCTAATAAATTAATAATTTGTCTAACATTATTTTTCATATACCTTCCAGTTATAAACCCAGATTGATCTTTATGCACAAGGTGATGCACAACCCTCATAAGCCTATTTACTAGGATTTTTACAAATATCTTATAATCCACATTTAAAAGAGATATAGGCCTATAATTCTTTGGTAAAGTAAGATCTTGATCCTCCTTTGGAATCAATGATATAAAAGCACTACGCCATGAAGGAGGAATCTCTAGACCCTGTAAAATATCATTAAAAAGATCACCTAATGGTTGGATCATCTCCTCCATTAAGGCTTTATAATAAACAGCTGTTAACCCATCCGTGCCCGGTGCTTTCCCTGGTTTCAATTGTTGAATTGCTAACGCAATTTCCTCCTTAGTAATTAAGCCATTAATTTCCTGTTTCTGATCCTCTGTCAATTTGGGGAAACTAGCCTCGCTTAAATATTTATTTATATCTAAAATTTGCACATTGGTAGATTTATATAATTTTTGGTAGTAATCCAAAAAAGATTTCTTAATCAATTCCTTCTGAGAGACTAATTTACCCTTATAATTTATTTTATCTATTATTCTCTGTCTCTGTTTCTTTCTTAACTGATAAGCCAACCATCTCCCTGGCTTATTAGCATTACAAAATGTATTTTGTTTCATAAACAATAAGTTAGTTGCAGCTTGATCTGCCAACAACATATTAAATTGTGTTCTTAACAACTTTACAGATTCTTTGATGCTTTCATCAGAAGGATTTAAAATCAAAGACTTTTCTTTTAATTTAATTTCATCTTCCAGTTCTTTACGTTTCTGAGACTGCTTTTGCTTATGACAGTTATTCATTTTTATCAAGATCCCACGCATAAATGCTTTACCTGCATCCCATACCATTGACATTGAAGTCCCCTTATACATATTTAAAGCAAAATAATCCTTTAAACACTCCTTTAACTTTTGAACATTCTTTTCTTGTCTAAATAGGTTTTCATTCACCCTCCAGGATCTTCTTTCCTCTTTTTCTTGAATCAACTCCATCCAAACTGGACTATGATCCGTCAACGACCTAGGAAAAATCTTTACATTCTTTACTCTATTATATAAGTCTGTTGTAATAAAAAAAAGTCAATTCTTGAGAAGGATTGGTGTCTATATGAAAAAAAGGTGAAATCTCTCTCCTCTTGATTACATTCCCGCCAATAATCCCTTAGTTCCCAGTCCTCTTTCATGTCAAAAAAGGCTTTAGGTAGTTTTGCCTGTTTAAAAAAGGGAGAAGAACCTTTCTTATCCCTTTATATATCTAAGACACCGTTCCAATCACCCATTAGTACCACGGATCTATAGTCCAACAAAGTTATTTTTTGATGTAACAACCTATAAAATTGTTCCTGTTGCTGATTTGGTGCATAGAGTCCCACTATAAGTACTTTCTTACCATATAAGCCAAGTTCAATCATCACATATCTTCCTTGGGGATCTGATTCTACCAGACAAGCTGGTAAATTTTGCTTCACATAGATAACAACTCCCCCCTTTTTCTCAGGAGCAGAAGATACAAAATGGGATCCCAGACGAGCATTAACTAAATATTTCTGATCCTTAAGTAAAATATGAGTTTCCTGTAAACAAATAACATCATTATTATGTTGCTTCAAATAGTAAAAGATTTTTTTCCTTTTCTGAGGAGAATTCAATCCATTAACATTCCAGGTCAGAAACTTTGCCATCTCCCTTGGCCAGGAGCCCGGAGAAGACTCCTTCGAGATCTGCCATTGCTGCATGTGTTGCAGAACTCTTGGGTCTTGCTCCTCCCACCGGCGATGAAGCACTTTCAGAAGAAGATTCTTTGGCCTCTTTCTTGCGTTGCTCCTTCTCCTTACGTCTATAAGCTGCACGGGTCATTCTCTGCTCTTTAACCTCCGTTTGACGTTGCCATTCAGCTTGCAGCATCCCAGCAGAGACCAGACCTAATGCCTCAGATTGCTGCCCCAACTCTTTGCCACTCAAGGATTTCTGAACAGATGAAGCTGAGCCTGCACCCAGGACCGTATTATAAAACTCTCTAGCTTTATCAACCGTATTCAATCTATAACGCGTCCCCGCATGGCTCAGAACAATACCCATCGGGATCTCCCATCTAAATGGCATCGATCTGGCTTTAAGCTCATTAGCTAGAAAAGAAAAATCTTTCCTATTTCTTAAAATTTTGGATGGGATTTCCTTTAAAATAATAATATCTTGGGTAGCAATCTGGAATCTCTTATTATAAAAGGCTTGTACAATTTCATTGCGCAGAGACTTCTTTGTAAAATAAATCACCACATCTCTGGGCAAATTCTTCTGCTTCGCAATCCAGGAGTTGACTCTATAAATTTTTTCCACTTCTCTGCGTAATTCTCCTTTATCCATATTCAGAGCAATAGCTAAGTCAGTAAGCACCATCTCCATCAGGTCTTGATTCATGTCTTCCTTAAGGCCTCTAATCCTCAAGGCATACTTCATCTGTCTGTACTGAAACATAAGAATATCTTCTTGTGAAGTCTCCACCTTCCTTTCCACA